TCTCTCTCTCTCTCTCTCTCTCGCTCTCTCTCTCTCTCTGCTCTCTTTCTGTTTTGACTCCCCAGTCACTAACACTGTAAGCATGCCCCATGGGACGATCCACTTTTTTACTCTTGAATAAAATATGCATGAACCTTTGGTATGGATACAGTGCCTTTACTTCCTTACCACTGAGCATGGACACACGCACACACACACACACACACACAAGACCCACCCTCATTCTACAGATGAATGCTTCATTAAAGCCAGTCGGACTGACTGAACCTGTTCTGCCGTTGCCAGATCACATAAAGGACATGCTTACATAACCTGCATAATTCAGATTATACTCAGTGTATGAATATGAAGAATATACTTGTTCAAACTGAAGTATTAGAGAATGAAGATGTACAGTATGTACAGTATAGATTTTAGCATCTTAAAACTCATTCATTCCAACACATTAAGTCAGTCGTTCTCAGTCTTTGTGGCTTGTGACCCCTTAATATGAACCAAAGTCTCCTCGCAACCCCTGAGCAGTTCAGTGATTCTACCTGCTCAGATTTATTATTTATTACTTTTTAGGGGCCTGAAGAGGAAAAGATATCTAGTTTTTCACAAGAAAAATCATTAAATATAAATAATAATTTTGTGCAGCAGAATTTAGTTTTTTAGTGTCGTGCCCAGGAAATCCTCTCATGAACTTTTCTAATTATTTGAACCCAGGTTGGGAACAATGGTCTTTTGTGTTCTTCTTTGTATGTATGTATGTAATTTGTATAATTCCTTTAAGTAAATCCATTACTGGAAGAGTTTTAACTATCTTTCTCTTTCACTTTAAAAATGAAAGTGAAAAAGTGCAAATGAGCCTCATGAATTATACAGTGCAACATTTAAATAAGTGACAGAAAAAAAACCTGAATAAATGAGAAACACAACCAACGCAGACCTATGTATTTGCAGAGCATGAGGGGTGAAAATCATGTGCTATGTCCCTGTAGCCTTGAAGTTCAGAGTGGGCTGCTCCCCTGCCCCCACTTTGCAGTGTCTGACTCCGTCTAACTCCCAGCCAATCCAAAAATGGGCAAAGAGGTGTGTGTGTGTGGGGGGGGGGGCAGACACCGTTACCTGCTAATTAGTGCTAACATATAAATAAAATAATACTAGAATTGCACTCACCTCAAAAGAAACAGCAGCAAAGACTTTGTCACGTTCTGTCAGATTATTTGTCCAATATTTGCATGAAAAATCCTCCAAAAGGCGCCAACACTACAATCACAGTTGAGAGGTCACATTCAGTGACTCGAATTAGCCGAGGTGACGCCTAGCAGACGGCTAGCAGTCTGTGACAGTACCCACCTGTCACTCAAAGTGACCACGCCCTCAATTACTCATAACTTAAAGCCCTATACAGAAATGTAATATATGACTTTTAAAAGGAAGAAACCTCGGACAGACCCAGACTCATGGTGAGCGGCCGTCTGCCTCGACCGGTTGGGTTGAGAGGAGAGGGATGGGGGAAAGAGGAGAAAGAGGAGAGACCAGCTGTATATACTGTTATATGTAATACCTTTGGTGTAATGGTGTTATCACCATTGTGATGGATGGATGGAGAAAGAGAAAGAAAGAAGAGGAAGAGTGGAGAGATGGAGAGAGAAGAGGGAAGGGTTAAGGGAAGGGGTGGGGTTATGAGGGGAGAAAGGAGGTTACTCCTCTCTCGTCTTTTTCTCTCACACGTCTTCTTTTCCCTCTTCTCTTGCTCCTGCTGTTCTCTCTTTTCAGTCCTTCCTTCACCTTCTCAAATGCCTTTTTCTCTTTCTTCTCTCTGGCTTCCCTCTCTTTCCTCTCCTTCCTCAGTCTCTTTTCTTCCTCCTTCTTTGCCTCTTTCGCTCTTTCTTGAGCTACGCTTTTCCTTGTCCGTCACTTGGCCGAGTTCCTAGAAAAGAGAGAAAACATATATTGAGTATTTTCTCTGAACAAGCTGTCAATGCAACAAGTCATTACTCCGAATCAAAATGATAATATGAGGTGGCGTACCTGGAGCTCTATGATCTTTTCCTCCATTTGGCTCATTTTACCGAGCCACTGCTCCTCCATCTTTTGGGCCTCTCTCTCCTGTGCTCTCTGGACACTTGCCTCCTTTGCCAGATCACACTTTTCCAGGATGACCTGGCTCACCTTCTTGTCCATCTCTTGTCCAAGTTTTTGCCACCTCCTCCTGTCTCAAGAACCCTCTGGTCTTTTCATTCTCCATCAACCACGACACGTCGAACTTTTCACATTTGTTCTGCCAGTGGACTTTGGCCTTGTTGTACTCCACCTGCTGGGTATGGAGAGTTTCCTGAAGGGAGCAGGTTTCTGCCTCATTTCTCTCCACGTCTGTCTGACCTGGCTGTTGCTGAGCCTTGGTCAGTTTTTGTTTTTCCTCCTCCCAACTCTGCTGCTTGATGGTCATCTTCACTGTCAAATCATAATTTTCATTGGCCAGCTCCTTGTTTTGTGTTTGAGCTTCCAGCAGAGCTTTACTGAGCGTGTGCAGGACTCTGCTGGGAACAATATATTTTTGCTTCATGGTCGCTGAAGAGGTTAATCCGGCCAAGACCAGATCTCAGCCCAGTTGAACAGCTATAGGAGTTTTGAACTAATGTGTTACACAATGTCCTCCACCACTATCATCAGAACACCAAACGTGAAAATAATCTTTGGAAGACCTGTAGAGTCTTTGACAAAGAGCAGCTGTTCTGAAGCCTGCTTTTTACTTCAGTTTGGTTTTCACATCCAGTGGACGCAAAAAAAAAAAAAAAAGGGCACAAAATGGCCACTGTAACATCTGTCAAATATTTCAACAGCAATTTAAGTGGAGCCCAACTTCACCTTTGAAAATAAAAGGTCGTAATAAAATCTGCTGTCTACAAAGGTATTTATATCTTTATAGTGTGAACTTCCTCTTTCACAAATCTTTGTTCTCTCTCTATCCTGAGAAATTCAGGACTCAAAAAGTCAATAATGGCAGGTAAATAGATTTTACTGGAATGGTCTAAAAAGGCAAAGACACCAGGTGGGAAGAATCACATTAAATCAGGCAGACAAACAGGCAGGAACAGGAAATGAAAGCTATGCAAACTAAGGTCTGAGGAGCTTGGCAATCTGACATCTGGGGAGTTCAAACAGGGAGGTATATATATATACAGAGGGGAAGAGTCGGTAAATGGGAACAGGTGTGTGCAGGGTTAGGGTTAGGGTTAGGGGTTGGGCCTGCAGGCGGGAAAACCGGGCAGGCGGGAGCGGCAGGGTCTGAAATGACATGAGTTATTGACGGTGAAAAAGTGGAGCTGCCAGACAAACAGGGCGGTATGTGAGAACCATAAAACCGTCCGTAACGAGCACACCACCTTACTGTGATGTTCCGGTGACGTCATGCATCAGGCAGAGAGCTAATTTAACCGAAATCGAAACTGAAAGTTTTGGACCTTGAATAAAGGGGTGGAGAGAGCAAGGGAGGGAGAGGCATGAGGCGAACAGCAGACAAAGGATATCTCTCAAGTCTGGATCAGAGAAAACACACCAAGGTGAGTACTGACATACATTTCTTTGTCTGGTCTCATTTTGATAAACACTTTTGATAGAGTTAAACTGACTGTTCCTCAGAGGGAAATCAGAGGTTGTTTGTATTCACAGAAGCTGTAAGTTGATTATTTTGTGTTGTTATTATGTTCTGACCAATTTCACAACTTCAACCTAGGCTGTGTGCTTGAAACCTACTGCTTCATTAAACTGTATTAGATCAAATCAAATAAATTTCATTTATATACAGTAGCACCAAATCATAACTGAAGTTATCTCAGGGCACTTTTTTATATAGAGCAGGTCTGTAGTCTTTACAGAGACAATTCTCTTGTCTGATGCGATTTGAAGGTCATTTGTAACCTTCACCATTACTGTCTCTGTGCAATGATGGACTCTAAACCTCTTTGTCAAGGATCTTAGATGAAGCTGAAGCTTAGATAAAGTTCTGTCTTTTGCTGTGTCACTTATGGGACATTTACCTCATTGTAGCTCCATTACATTTTATTGCACTGTGGAATGGATGTAATTGAGTGAGTGTGTGTAACTTGCAGTACAATGGATGAGCAGAAAGCACACATATGTTAACTGCAGCTTTTGAACTGTATCCAAATCATTTAATCATAGGCAAATCTGTTTTCACTAAAGTCAGAACTTGTGGTTGATGCAGTTATTTTTATACAGCCTCATAAGGTGACAAACACACTGATGCCAAAAGGTCAAATACAGTTTTGGACAATGTTTGAAGGGATCACGAACCATACATAAACACCTTACAATATGTCTTTTGTTGGGAATCTATAAAAAAGACCCTTTAGTCCACACATTTGTTGACTAATAAGCTTGAGGAGTAACAGATGCTGGCCACCATGACAGTTCAAGATCTTAGACACAGCCTCTGTTTCCAAGTGAAAAATAAGTTAAAGGTAGATCAAGGCAATCACTTCAGCATTTCTCTTCTGTACGTGGAAACTTTCCACTATGTTTTTTTTTGGGGGGGGGGCTTTTTGTGCCTTTAATGGACAGGACAGTAGAGAGAGACAGGAAATGGGGAGGCAGAGAGAGGGGGAATGACACGCAGCCGTCCGAAGCGGCAGTTGAACCGGGGGCCAGCTGCAGCGAGGACTGTAGCCTCTATATGGTGGCGCCTGCGTAACCCACTGTGCTACACGACACCCCTTTTCACTATGTTTTATATCTCGCCACTCCCCTGTCAGTGATGTCATAGCAGCTGTATTTCTATTAACAGGGTATGGGGATAAAAAAAAGATTCTTTGCCACCACTGAGCCAGGTGTACAACATACAGGTTTCAGTCCACAGAGAGTAGAGAAGGCCTGTGCAGTTCAGAGTAAATCCAAGCTTTTAAAGTCTCATTACTTTCCCCTCAAATTTCTAACCCCACACTTCTGGATTCTGTTGTATTTACTGACTGTAATGAACATATTTTGTCACTAGGTAGAAGCTCTTATGTGACAGCTGATGATGAAGATGAAGATGTCTTGTTTGTTTGTAATGTTTTGCTGTTGTTAGGTGAGAACCTTGAATTCCCAAAATTAACTTCAAAGGAAACATTAAATATATATTTCTCACTTGACTACTACATGGTTTAGACTTGATTAAAATGGGTTTGATAAGGTTTTCGTGGTGAGCCAGCCCTACACACTGAGTGACTGATATATCTGTTTGTATGAAAGCACTCCCCTGACACTGGCTGACTGTTCCCTCACAGATGCAATGCCACCGAGATCAGGATGCTCTGATCCCTCGGCCTCGTGGGAACTTGCCCAAAGTGTGTGCTGCGACACTGGCTGCCATAACAATAGCAGGCATCGTGTTTCTGTCTCCTGAAAGGTTATTTGGCTGGGTTGCCATGGTAATACTCATCGTGACCCTTGGCCCTCTGCTGCACGGGCTGTGTCTGCTGGCAGAGGAAATGTTGTACCATTCAAACACAAGGTGAGAGATCAGTTGGAGCACAAAGAGAGACAGATTGAAGCATTCAATGCTTGTGGTCTGGTCTGCCTTTGATATATCTCTTAACAAAATTTTTTTTTGTTTGTTTTTGTGTGACTTTGCTTTGCATTGTTTTAACATTGTTCTAATTAACCGTGGATCAGTTGCTATGTGTACAGTAAAAACCCACAGACAATTATAACACGACTGCAGTTCCCCTCAGCTCTATTTAGCGTTTTAGTGTCTTTCAGCTCGTTGTCGTGGTTTTACCGCTAAATTAATGAAATGTTTCATTGATGTTAAAATGCTAAACTGAGCATTCACCAGTCCAACAGTTACACAGTGCACACATGGTAACAGGGACAACATTACCCTCTTTCCTTCTGTTATTAATTCATTTTTACCAGGTATCGAGGTCAACGGCTGCTGAGCCACGTGCTGCCAGTCTGTGGTTTGGGGGGGAAGACCCTGCTGGCTGCAGGACTGGCAGGCCTTCTGCTCTACCTGGCTGGACATCCTCTGCCACATGAAGGCCAATGTTGGAAACTCCTCTTCCTGGCCTCAGTTCTTTACACGTTTTTTAAAAGCCTAGGAGTCCTGGTGAGATCCAGACCTGACACACATACCCCTTTTCCACCAAGATGAACCTAGTGCTAGTTCTGGGCTAGTGCTTGAGCTGGTTTGTAATTGGTTCAACTTGTGATGACGTCAGTTCATACATCTCCATTTTCCCAGCAACGCTTGCGCCAAGCACATAAACAACAATGGCAGATGACATCGTAGCGTTGCAAGTGTTGCTCCTGGTTTGGTGAGCCAACATTGGCATGCAAACACGGCTGGTCCAACACATTTCTGCTGCTCGTCATGATCGCTATGATACCGCTTGTTTTTTAAAAATGGCGGTCATCTAGTTTTGGTTGGTCTTGTTGGACGCGATAACCCCACCCCCAGCTCCTGACGTAAGCAGTTCTTAGTTCTAGCCCAGCAGAGTGTTGGTGCCACCTTGGAACCGGTTTTCCCAGCAGGGGGCCAGTTCTTTGTCTGTCGAAACAAGAAAACTTGTTTCTGGCTCCGAACAAGCCCCAGAACTGCCTTGGTGGAAAAGGGGTAATGGACACCACTGGGATCTTGGTTTTTCTCTTCCGCTGTAATGCAAACATACAAAATGATAATCCCTTAAATATTACACGGTAGATGTTTGAGTGTCCTTCCAGGCTGCCATTAGTTTCCATTCATACAACCATAAATACCGTAAATGGAAACATTTGACTGTTATGGAAAATACACTGAAAGCTGTAATACACAATTGTGTGATTTGGGTGCGCTGAAGTAATTTGTAGAAAAGAGGCTACAACATAGGAAAACAGTGATACAGCCCTTTAACTTAGCATGCAGGCACCTTGTAATGTAACTGCCATTATCCCTGATAAGCACCAGTCTAGGCAAAATGTAGCTAGAAGACATTGAAATCTGGGACATCTCAACCATGTTTGTGCTTAAGCGATAACTACTGCAAACCAGTTTTGGGATTACATTTAAGATAATAATCCATATAATAATAAGGCAGTGTCATTCAGATTGTGCTTCACTGCCCATAGCTAAGAAAAGCTAATCAAATACACTTTTGAGAGGGCTAATGTTAACTACTCTCAAACACAGACGGAAATGAAGGACCAGCATTTGTCCAAAATCTCATCTCAACCCAATCTCATTAGACCCTGCAGTGAGTGTCAGGGTGTGCCGTCATACATGATCCCTCTGACAGGTGATCTACATTATATTGCTCCAAGACAATGGCTGGCCCCACTGGCTTGATAGGCAGTTTAATCTGAATACCGTGGCCCACTCAGTAGTCCAGCTGCTCTCCTTGCTCATCTTGCTCCATTAGCCTTTCAAACAGTTACTAATTAGCAACACCTCTGGCATGTCCCTTGACCTTACAAAAGAGAAAATGGTTTCAATATGTGTGAACAAGTCTACGGGGTCATCAGGTGGGTACCCTCTCAATAACTGATGTTTTGCTGAAGTTGGGCCTTGAGAGCTCAACTGTCCCAGAACCACCTCCCTCTTTACGTGCAGCCCCGCAGTCATTCAGTCACAGTGGTGGCTCAGTGTGTTACCGATTTGTTCAGACATGTACTAAACACGTTTACCATACACAGAGCTCCGGTCCAAGCTAACACAGGCCAGCGTCTCTGAGACACTTACTACACGTGCTAGCATGAAAGCATACGGTTTAGCCCAGTTCCAGCAGCCGGCAGGATACTTTCAGAAAATGAAACCAGAAATACTTCAGTCATCTTTAAAGGAAAATTCTACACTAGATAATACATTTATCTTTAACACAATATCTTTATAAGTAAAAACTGTGTCAAATGTGCTTCATGTCCTGAACAATGGGAAAAACTGGAAAGAGAAATCTCTATCTTCACAGTCCTGGTCAGTTAAGATTGTTTTAATAGAGAGGCATATTTTTACAGCTCAGCAGAGCACCACGGTAGAATTGAAAAATAGCTCAGTTTTAGCATAAGACACTTCAGACAGAAGAGTCCCTGTGAAAGACCACTTCCTGAAGGATCAGTTGATTGTAATTGAGATGGCATTTATGGAATAAAAATAGACGCAAAATTCCTTCTTCATCAGCATTGACTATAGTACTCATACTGTCCTCAAAGACTTGTATAATTTTGCTCACTCTTCAGAGAAAATGGCAGCATTATAGATTCAACCCATCTCAAGCTTTCAGCATTTAGCTGTCTCTGTGTCCTGCCTTTTTCTATCTAAAAATATGCGTGGGAAAGGGCAGCTTGGGTGCAGGGATGCCCTTTTCTTTCGCCTCCTGGGCAGAGCTGAGGTGTTGTGACATCCTTCCAGCTGTTTTCTGTGGTCGATGTGCAGGGTCCATCGGAGGTGGAGGTGTCAGACATCTGCGAGGGGAGGAAGATGAACGTAGCCCACGGCCTGGCCTGGTCCTTCTACCTGGGCTACCTGCAACTGGTGCTGCCATGTCAGTAACATCAAAACACACTACTCACACACACACACACTATGGATATTTGGTTTGTACTCATTGTCTCTTAACTTACACACCTATCATTTTCATATAAGAAGTCGTGGACCTATATCATATAATCAGTTTAGCTAGATATACTGTATATGCTTTTAAGATAACTTCTAAGCCCCAAATAGGTGGTGTTTTGGTGCATTGTAGTGATTCCGTAGATATGAATGTATGTGAATGGACACATTAAAGATGAAATGATTGAGTTGTGTGTGTATTCCAGGTCTGGAGGATTCCATCGCATCATTTCGTGCCACCCATCAGGCCAGCAGTCCCTTCTGGGGTCGTGGCTCCAGGAAGCTCCTAATCCTTATTCCTCTCAACTCCAACATCTCTCACAAGCTGGAAGATGAGGACGACAACATCCGTTTTTATGACAACCTCCCAAACAACAACATAGACAGGGCAGGAGTCCGGGGCCGTGTCTACAAGCACAGCGTCTACAGAATACAGGACGAGCATGGGAAGGTAGGTGTGAGCGTAAAATAACAAGTGTGAAACTGTGTAAATAACAGTCTAAAATGATAGTTACGGGTCAGACTTCAAGTTGATAATAAGTTATCTGTATCAGATTACAGGTAGATACATTTCTCCTCCCAGGTTCAGCGTAAAAATATTCAGTCAGTATTAAATAAGGTTATCAGAGAACCTGAAGCTTGAATGCTGAACTACTTGTGCTGCAATTCAACTCAGTGTCAGTCTTCTTATTGCCAGTGTGGGCTGAGAGACTCGGTGTGCTGATATTTTCTCCTTTGATCAGATTTGTAAAGACTGCACTGCTTAAATGTGGCGGAGCGAGAGAGAGAGCGAGAGAGAGGGAGAGAGAGAGGGAGTCACAGTAAAGTGACAGACTCAAGGGACTGTTTCCGTGTGTTTTTTTTTTCCCCCCAATATTTCAAGATAGCGCGTCAGTGTGTTCTATATTCAATGTTTTTGATGTAGCAAATCTAACAGTGATTGTACTCAAACTGGCTCTGTATTTTAGTCAAGGGAAGGGAAGTTTGGGGCTTCAGAGAAAGCATCCTGTGTTTCATGTCAGACCAAAAATAGCCACCAGTTATTTCAAAGTGATTACCAGAACAAGGTTGTGGCTGTATTTTGCAGGTGCAGTCACTACACAGAGTGAGATGATGATGAATGTTTGGCTTTAATTCCAATACACTTACGTACGAGTTTTAGGTGCTTGTTTATTTTTATAATTCTACCTCACATTTTACTATCTATCATACTATCATACTTTTGGCTTCTTTACATTTGTCCGACATCTGTAGTTACTTCACAGATTAAGATTTTACATATGAAATGTGATTATGTGGATGCAACTAATGGTTGTTTTCACTGTAGATTAATCTGATGATCACTATTTTAATCATTCAGATAACTGCTTAATCTGTAAAATGTGAATAAAAATGTCCACCACAGAGTTCATTATGACATCTTCATAGCTGACATCTTCAAGCCTGAAGAGATTCAGTTTACAATTATATAAAAGACAGAAAAGCTGAAACAATGAATTGTTGGAGATATTGATTGAAAAATTACAATTGTCAAAATAATTGCCAATTAATTTTCTGTTCTTACTTCACTATAGTAAATATGAAGTATGTAAAGTAAAGTATGTAGTAGGTAAAAAGAGCTGTACTTTGACCAGCTAGAACATTAAAATTCAGCTTAAATATAGATGCATTAGTAATAATATTTCAATGATATATACACTGAAGAACCAAAACACACACACCCAAGGCTCATCAATGTGGAGGGCAACAAAGGCTGTCCCGTCTGGTCTGAACCCAGTGAAGGGCGACTGGCACAAGCTGCAGAAAACTTTAATAGTAGTTATGGGAGAAATGTGTGCATCACACTCTGCTGCACAGTTACACAGTCTTTAAAAGAGACTGTACCCTTTGATAGATGAGGCAACACAGTTTTCAGATGTAAGAGGAAGCTTGTGTTACCTCATCTAGTTTTATTGCGTATGAATGTAATATCTCGTCAATACAACATTAATATGTCTGGTATGACCAGTAGTTTACAGAGCTGACGTTAGCAAACTTTAGACAGATGTTACTTTATAAACCGAAGTTGCTGAGTCATTTTGCTGACTTGAGAACTCTTCTGTGCGTGGGCTGCAGTTACAGAAAAATGTACTGTCATCATGTACCCTTACTGTCACTTGTGACCACAGTGTTTGCTGTTCAGCAAGGGTTACATAGTATTGAGTAAGTTACATAGTAAGTGAACATTTTGCTTATAATGTTTATAACTGTGACTCTGAATGCAGGATTCTACTTGTGAAATATTTTCATATTGTTGCATTGCAGCTTTTACTCAAGTAAAAGATCTGAGTATCTCTTCCACCACTGAAACAAACTGATGTTCAACCTCACATGAATGACTGAACCCTGTCTGCCTTACCTTACTTATGGCTGATGGCTTTATTGGTATTTCTATTGATAAGAATATATTTCGCTCTAAACCTTTCAGCATAGCTTTAGGCATTAGTTTTCTTGTTTTGAATATACTTTGAGTCACAAAAGAAACACTTTACTTTGAGATATAAAAATATCATATTCAGAGTGTAGTACATAAGCTCCCTTCCATACACAGCGTGAGTACCATCTCCTGGTTAAACCTGAGAACTCACCAGGGGAGGACTAACATACTGACGTACAGTAACAGCACCATCTACCTGTAAAATATGGTAATCAAACATTTCTGGTGCAAGAGTGCCACAAGCTTTTAAAGGATTATCTGTTCAGGAAATGCATCTATCTCTGTTTTTTTTTTTTTTTTATGTGTGTGCATGTGTGTATGTGTGTGTGTTTCAACAGGCCCATGAGTGTGTGGTGGAGTATGCGACGCCCTTGCTGACACTCTACAAGATGTCCCAGCAGAGCAGTGCTGGTTTTGGGGAGCCTGAGCGCAGGCAGCAGGTCCTACTCTTCTACAGGACCCTGCAGGACATCCTGGAGCACTCGCTGGAGTGTCGCAACCACTACAAACTCATCCTCCTCAACGGTACGAGGACAGCCAAGTGTGTGTCTGTCTGTGTGCGTGTTAGTGTGAGGGAACACACCTTGTGGCATGAGACAGACTGCTTTTAGGGGGATTTCAGGTTTTAGCTTATCCACTTCCCCACAAGGACTTACAATCAGGATTTGTGTGTTTATGGAGTGTTTTTGCAATTTATGTATTTTTAAAAAGGTTTTGTTACACAGCGGCCTTATGCTGCATGGTGTACAGCTAAAAGGAAGAGTGAAGGTCAGAGTGTCAGCGCTGGGGACTTTTCTGGCTTCGTTCCTGTTATCTTGGCCTCGTGTGATGGCAGTGAGGAAGCCAGCCACACCTTTCAAACAGAATGAGCTCAGAACAGTGAAAATGATTAGAGGCAGCACGCTTAAACAAACCATACATCCTGTTTCCCTCTTCTTCTAGACGAGCATGAGGACGACCCTCACTTCCTGTCCAAGGCCATACTCAGACATCTGCAGCAGCAGGAGAAAGAGGAGTTCTACCTCACCCCGCCTCCTCAACAGGAGATGGTGCACCCATTAGCGAATATTTCAAGTGCCCCGCCGCTCATGAATGGCGAGTGGCACCATCCCGAGCCAATGAGCAGAGAGCCCACGCTCATGTACAGCCTGGAGGAACCTTTACCTCTGAAGGAACCTGTTGAGGACACCGACTATTACCACGGACAAACATAAACAGGAAACAACCACTGTGTTTCATGTCTGTCATGCTATATTCTTCTTGTGCCAAACTGAAAGTTTGGGAATTAAAAATGCTACATTTCATTCATCGAGGTTTTATATACAGACCCTAACTGAGTATCATCTGCCTGTGTCTGAATTAATATCTGAAAATATCAAATAAATACAAACAGTTGTTTAGAGTAAGAAGAAGAGTTGTGTTTTATCTGACCTTTTCTTTACTGAACAGTTTGGTTGGTGACATGTCCCAGAGACTGAGGAGCGGCCTGTCCAGTCACTGGAACAGAGAAGTTCAGACACTGACAGATTAAGATATGAGCAATCTGTGCGAATATGTACTGACTTATCTTAAGAGATCGCTCTGTGTGTAAACGGATGTATTGATCAGTCCACAGCACTGACATTCAAACAGTATGTGTACATTGGAAAAACCCTGGACAGACTGTGCAGGGAGCACATCTTGCTTTAGAGCAGAGGTAGTGAAGTTGTTTAGAAGAGAGTTTGTCATCGTCCTTCCTCCTTCAGAGAACAGGACATGATCTTCTGCACACAATGGCCCATTCAGTTAATATATAGTTAATTTAAGAGTCTGAACAAAGGTTGCGTCACATCCTGTACTTCTGTGGACACTACCAGACGGCTCACTGAATAGTCTTTGCCTCATTTTAAAATTGAACCCAGTTAATGTTTTGAAGAACTCACAGTGGGATATTTAAAATGCAACGATTTTGCCCTCAACAAATTCTGTAAACATGATTAAATGCATGAATGATGATGATTTATAATAGTTTTATTAGTGAAGTAAAATGACTATCATTTTGAAGTCAAAATGGACATTTATTATGGGTGAAACAGAGCTACAGGTAGACCAGGAGAAAGAGAAAAATGGGGAAAGTCCCGAAGGCAGTAGAGCTCAGAAAAAGACATGTTTGGCAGAGTGGGGGTTGGAGGAATACAATGTACAAGAGTGTGTTTTATGACTGCATAAACAAAAGAAGCAGTCACAAGACACCTGACACCACGCCTGTTTATCTGCATCTCACATGTACACACACACACACACACACACACACTTCATGACCTGCAGCACTGCAGCTGAAACAGCTCGGTGAGGTTGCATCAGATACATTAACAGCCTGTCTGTCGTCTCGACGGAGCAGAGGTGGGAAGGACAGAGGGATCTGATCTAGAGCACACTGCATTTACCACACAGCTTTTGAATAGTGCATATTGTAGCGCGTAGATTACAAAAAAAAGGGAATAAAACAATAGAGCATTGTTGGAACCTCAGCGGCACTTTGCATGAAGTAGGCTTGATAAGTTAGCATGAGGCTCTTTCAGATAGTGATTCCCAACCCCAACGGATATGATGAAAGAAATTCTGTTACACAAAATATATTTTGACTTTTCCTGGTGTCATTCTGTATATTTTTTGTATCTCTTGATCCTCTAAAAATCCTTCAAAATTTAAGTCAGAGATGGAAAACTAGTCTTCTTTGGCTGAACTGCTCATAACCTCCAGACTGAGGCCATTCCCTCTGATGAAGAGTCACAAGTAGACTTTCAAAGGAATAGTTCAACATGTTTTTACGTTTCTGTTTGACAGAATCAAGCTGTTTCCCATCGCTTTCGGTCTTGATGCAATGCTAAGCTAATTGCTGGCTCTTTCATATCACACAGACAGATAAGAGCGGCACCATTCTTCTCATCCAGCTATAACCATATTTCCAAAGGGTATCACAAGTCAAAAAGTTTGGAAACCACTGTTTGAAGGTTTGAAGGTTTTGTAGGTCTAAAGTTCACTTGCACTACAGGAGCTCTGATAATTCACACACATTACACACATACAATACAAGAGTCTTGGTCACCAGTTTAAGACCTCTGATAACACAGTCTGAACAAATGAAGTACACAAAATATACTTTCTTTATCAGAGACCGCTACTGTGAAGCTTGTCAGCTTTGGTCAGGTGCACAAACCTCAAACATAAAAATATACTTTCTTTTCTCCATTTCATTTTACTGTAACCTGAAATCCTCTGGGTTTTTCCTGCTGTTGAACAGAAAACAGTCATGTGATGGCAATGTAGAATTATTTTAGACATTTTTTATAGTAAACAGTATTTGATTAATTAAAGAAATATTTATAATTGATGATCTAGAGCAAAAACAATAACTAGTTTTAGCCCTAAACTAAACTGTGGACAGTGGTGTATTCTTAACACAGCATGACGCTTTAGCTGTAGCAGGCAATAGAAGTGTATATATCAATAACTTGTGCTCATTTGGATGCTGATACGAATTAGTGTGTGTTTTGACCATGTTCCCTCTTTGTTACATAAGGATTTTAAAAAACAACACTCACACAGATATGTGAGTTTTAGTAGTGGCCACAGGAGACAGGTCTGACCTGTTCTCAACTGAAAACACCACATCCCAGCCAGCTGACATCAGCTGACACTGATGGTGATGGATGGATAACACTGGCACCATTGTGACTGAGTTTACACAGAGCAGGACACTGACTGTTTACTGAAGCAGATTTAAGGAGACTGAATATCAGTGACCTGAGCTCATCTGAAGTAGTGATAACTCTGTTTCAGTTCATGGGATTATTGAATGACACACTTGTTAAGGGCGTACCTAGAGTCCATGACTCCATGAGACATTAAACCTGTGACCATCATCACTCACAGTTTGTAATATTTGTTCAAGGTGAGTTTGAAAATGCAATTTTTCTATGCATTAGAGAAGAAATTCATTTGGAACTGGCAAAAACTGAGAAGACAAATTTGAAATGGTAAATAATTAATAAATTAATAAAACATGAATTGTGCTGTGTGTTTTAAAAACACATAAAAAGGCACATACAGACACACACACACATACACACACACACATACACACACACACACACACACACACACACACACACACAGGTCAATATTGGTAAGGCAGTGAGTGCACATTATCACCACAAGCTGTAGTTCCCCTGCAGTTCCACCGAAAAACACTTCCTCCTTGGTGGCAAGTCTTTCTGACGACAGCCTCTGGTGTGAATGTGATTGGCCGTCAGCTGAGATGCCACAGAAGGGAGATTACCCAAGAAGGTGAGTCAGGCAAGTGAGGTTAACCTGCAGAAGCACTACCTTCCTACTCTCACGTCATGCCAGCAGGGAAAATTTTAAGGAAAGCAGTAGTAGCTGTGTGTGTGTGTGTGTGTGTGTGTGTGTGTGTGTGTCTTGTGGTCCTGAGAAGAACAAGACATTGTTCAACTGAAATTTTACGATGAACCCTGATACCAGACCAACTGAAGGGAATATTAATGACTATTCTGATAACAGTTTCCACAGTTTCCTCTACAGCACAAATAGTTTGCGAAGTTTGTTCCATATATGCCTCTCAGACAAACTTTTCACAAACCTTTACCTGTGGCCTAATGCATATAATACACTTTACTTATAGCACACAATGATAGCAGTTTACAATGAAATGAAAATCAGAAAAAGTTAAATAAATGGCAGATTTGGGAACAGGGGTTCAGGGAGGTGACAGGGCCAAGACCACGGTGCCCCTAAACGTTAACTGCTTTAAAACTGATGAAGAGCGGCTCAGAGGACAAAGTGGGGATGATAGAACTGTCCTGGAACAAGGATGTGCAGCTGGAGCTTAGTAAGATATTGAACTGAAAAGTGCATCTGGCTTTCCAGATGCAAGAACCGCTGCTCTACTTGATTTTAATCATGCGTGTGTTGCCTCCTTTTGTTTTTTTTGTATTTCTGTATTGTGTGTTGTTTTATTGTGTCTGGGCATTGCCTTCTTTTCTGCTTTGCAAAAAAAAAAAATTAATAAAAATATGTTTGAAAAAAAAGAGTCAGGGAAAGGCAGCTGAAAACCAGTGATTGTTTATATTTCCTATTTCCTCAGTAATATGATGAAGCACTACAGTATTTCTTATAAGTCTCCCTTTGTAAACACATTGTGGATTCATTTTGAAGGAATATTTTTCATGGTGGTGGGAGTTACCGTGCATAAACCTTATGCACCTGATGGAGAAGCAAAACACAGTCCTGTGTTTAGTGGATACGCTTCCGATGCTCCACCAGGTGTGAGTGTGTGTCTGAGCAGCGTGTGTCAGAACATGTGACTCAACCTGTGAGTAAGGCAGGGCTCATGCCACCTGTCTAGACCTGATGTGCTCATACACACACACACACACACACACACACACACACACATACACACACAAACACACACACACACTTTACTGAAATTTCGAGTCGATACACTAGAAGCAGATATGAAAATTAAATTTATTGGGAAGTGACATAAAGATTACCTGATGAGATTAAGAGGAGGATATTTTAGGGAACTAGTTTCTCAATAAAATCTTTGGTAAGGTCTAATGTGCGCATTATATATTTTGACTCTAATCGTCAGAGAGACCATGTTTCACTATGACTACTGTAAATTTTATAACAAAACTATTTCTATCCAAGAAAAGAAATGTCAAGAGAATAGCAACTGATCAAAATATGTGCAATTTTTCTAAGTTACTCAACATTTTTGTCCGACTATGAGCTAAACTGTCCTCTGTGGAGGAATGCCTATGGCTTCAGTGTTCCTACTGAGTCAGTGTCAAGGGGGTTTGAAGACTTCTCTGTCCTGGGGCGATTAGTGCTTTGTCAAATAAAAGAAAACAGGTGGGATGACTCTGACTGTCCCTGTGTCTGGACGTAAGATTTAAAGAGATTGCTCCAAGAATGGACAACACCCAGTCTGAGGAGCTCCAAACATAAACAAATTTAAAAACACCTTGGAGGGAATTTAGTACTTACTGTACATCTGTTAGTAACTATATGTTGCAATTTATTATTTCTGTTTATTTTTTGTAATGTTTTTGTGCGCCTACATTACCCACAACGCAACTCGACAGCCAACAGTTGGGTTGGAGATCCAGGTGTTTTATGCTAGTGGTGGCTAATGTAGGCAGATCGCCTGAAGCAGAGAAGCTGCTAGCCTTACACAGAAAAGTGGAGCTTGTTTGTTAAAACCTAATGCCTACATTACCCACAGTGCAACTCGACCGCCAACAGTTGGGTTGGAGATTCAGGTGGTGTCCTCACTTCTTTGAGATGAGTTTCAAACTTGTAGTCTTCAGCCTCGACCAACGCTGATTCAAGTGACATCATTTGAGGTCATTTATCAGACTTCACACAGCTCCCTCTGCAGCCACAAAAGGCCTTATACAATGTAGTATGTAGGAGTACCACCCAACACCTGGAAACAAACTTTGATGTGGAGTTCCCCTTTTAAATGTCCATGTGTTCTCATTGGCCTACGTTCTTAATATTAGTTTATCAGCCATAGCAGCAGCCTGTAATCTGTAGTAAAAGAACATCTCTGCTCTGAAAGGCTGTTGTGGTTGTCAGTTTCTCTTATGACATTGAAAACGCCCAGTGCATGTGATAATATCTTAACACCATTATGTGTGACACATACAATGTATATTGATCACTGGCTGGTAGATTTCCATTGCAGCATATTTCATTTTATTAGTAGTTTTAAATTATATAATTTATTATAAATTATTTAGGTTCTTTACTTAAGGACATCAATGTAATAATTATTTTACAAGTAAAGGCCCTGCATTAAAAATGCATCAAAAATAATAGTACTATACCAAATTTAGAATGAAAAGTAAAAGTACTTATGGACAAAACTGTACCCTGTAAGTGTTATACAATTATCTTATTACTTGATATGTAAGCATCAGTTTAACATTGGTGATTGAGATGGATCTACATTTCGCTTGCCCAGTAACATTTTTTTATGTGTCTGTAGTTTCTTAATAATTTTATAGGAAGTTTCCTCCAAAAAACTACAAAACCACTAGAAACTTTATTTTCCATATGTGTGAAACGCTTGCTGCTGACAAATTTTGCATTTTACATTTTCAGCTGTCACTGTCTTGTTAGCGGTTCCCTGAATTTAATTAACTGTGTGTGCCAATTAAAAACCAAGAGGCTACATAACTCTTTCAGTGATGATTTCATGTTGGAAATCATGAGGAAATGAAGGACCTAAAATACAGTGTTATCATACTGTTTGGTAGTGTAACCTATAACGCTGCTTGATATTTTATTAGCAATTTATACAGTTAATTGGCAGTTTATTAGGTACAACAAGCTAAATCTAATGTAGTCTAATGCATGCAATAAATCCTCCTTCATGAAGGTTATAATGTTCAGTTTTTATTAAAATTGTTTTGGAGGTGTTGATTCGCCTGTTTGGAGGCTGTAGTCTGTGGTGCTGCTGAACTGTATTGCCTTATATGTTATTTATTCTCCCCTCACTGATATAAATTGGGTTGACTATCATAAAATGATCATAAAGTTAAATCAACACATCTCTGAAGCTTCAATAAAAACTGAACATTAAAACCTTTGTGAAGGAAGGATTTATTGCAGGACTGCTCTATGAGACTTGGACTGCAAGCAATGATTTGTCATTATTGATTAATCTGCCAATTATTTATTAGTTGTTAAGGCTGTTAAATGTCAGAAAAGTACATGTAAAGCCAGTCACGTTCTCCCAGAGCTCCCATTTTCAAATATCTTGTTTTGTCCAATCAACAGTCGAAAATATAAAAAATATTCAGTTCTTAACGATATAAAAATGAGAAAAGGCTAAACTTCTCTCATTAGAGGAGTGGGAACAAGAAAACTTAAAAAAAAAATTAACTTGAAAAATGGCTCATACAATTATTAAATTATCACAGCTGCTAATTAATTTTGTAAGTGATGAACTGACTTATTGTTTCAGCTCTATACAGTATTACACTGCATTAGTTTTAGCTAAGTGAACCTAATAAACTGGCAACAGAGTGTATGTCTTGGATGAAAACTAATACGCAAGTAACTTGTAACTACAACTGTCAGAAAAATGTACTGTACCAAAAAGTAGCATATTTCCCTGTAAAATATATGTGGAATACGAAATGTAAATAAAGTACAAGTAAATAAATGTCCTCCTAAATTGCACCTATTGTCATTATCAATTATTATCAATTTGTTTTGTAAGTTTAGCTAAATTCAGTCCAACTCTGTGGATAATGAGACTATTAAAGTAGTCTTATATTACTTTACAGTGACTGGCTGACTGTTAGCTGTACGTGACAGGGATCAGCTCTTCTCCTGTGCAATGCCCGGACATGTTGCGTGAGTTCAGGAACTTTCTCGGCCCCGCCCACACGTGAGAGCTCAGCTGATGCAACCGGCGACTCCTCCGGTATAAAAGCTGCGCACTCGCCGCTCACAGTCGCTCGTCTCAGTTAACTTAATACATGGAGAAAATACAAACCGGACGTTTGGAGGAGACACCGGAGCTTTACAAACAGGAATCAGGATGGTCTATACCACGGCTCTGCTCTTTGGACACGGAGTGCCCGTCTTGTCGGAGGAAGAAAGCGTCGTAGAGATGATAGGAAAGTACCTCTCCCAGCTTACATCCCCGGGCCGAAAGACGAGCTCAGCCCGGCGGGGTAGCGTCGAGAGCTGCGATGAGACAGACAGCAACTCGCCATGTAAGTTGTTTTAAAAGTTAAATGTAATTGAAACTACAAAAACTTATTTTTTAAAACAGCTTTTCAGTCGGTTCTAGTTGACAGTAACTAATAAAAACCGCAGAACACTCACCTAATTACAGTTGAATATTAATGCGCTATCATGATTAAAATAACCATAATCTTTATATTGGAACTAGACCTTTAATATTTGGCGCAAGAACTAATTAATTACCTAATCTCAGTGATGGGGATGTGTCTGATGTAAGTGACTGAGGTGTTGGATCAGCTGATGACAGAGTAAGCTGGGCTCCTCCTCTCAGCTGCTGATACAAAGACAATACTCTGATGAATCTGGGGTTTCAGAGCAGCAATGAGACATGATGCATGACCACATGATAGACATAGTGGCAAAAGTGAAACGGCAGAGTGAGGGTCAAAGTCTTGCACTACATCTCAGTGATGTAGTGTTTAGGGTAAATTGTAAGCTCTCGTCATTAGAGAAACTATGAATACACTGTCATGGCTTTGACTGCCAGTGGCTGTCAGCATAGATGTTAAACTTTTATAGAGATGAACTTACTGTTTAATATACTGTGGGTTAATGCCACTTATTCTAACAGCACTCTTGGTCTCTTTCCACAGTGTACAACCTGGATGCTGGTTTGGAGCATGAAGAGCGGCTCCTTCAGCAGGATGTGACCCAGCAGATAGAGCGCTGTCTGACAGAGGCCAAGGCGTCCACCCTCCACTGCCAGGTGCTGCTGCTGCCACACCAGATGACCACCAAGGTCGGCCAGGACGTGGTGCACTTCTCAGCTGATGAGCCCTGTGGGCTCCGTGGCGCCTCTATCAAGGTGTATGTGGAGTGCAAAGATGGCCTGAAGTCTGTGGGGAGCGTCTTCCCAGACCCGAGTGTCACGCCCACATTTGAACTGTCTGTGATCTTAAAGGCAGACAAGGATGGCGGCTGGCCGCCGCTCAAGCACATCTTTGGTACCAACAAAGTGTTGAAGCTGAGACCAGAGTACCGGCTGGTGAAGAGGAAGCTCTACTCCTCCGCCAGTCCTGTCATCCATGATTTCCATTAGGGGTGAAGTTGAGATTGTGAACCCCCGTTCCACTGTTTACCTCTTCGTTAGTGTTTGAATGTTATTTTAAGGCTAGACGCACAAAGTCTAGCCTGGCAAGATGCGGAAAATGCTGGATTTTCTCTGTGTTGAATAAGAAAGTGGATTGTTCTTTGTTTTATGTATGAATGTCTTAGAGCAGGAGGTAACACTGCTTGTTTTCCTACACTGTAGCCAATATGACTGCAGTATTTTGCACAGAACAGTTGACTGTTAGTGTACACTGTAAACATGAACACATCCTCCCAGGAATGGGCGGGTCTCACTCCTGAAGTGTGCTGTACTTTTGCTACTGTTTGTTACTTTTGTTATTTATGAGACTTTGAAATAAATGTTGTTACACCACTACTACTTAGTCCTGTGCTTGCATCAGTGTACTGTTACTTTACTGGCTACCTAAGTGACATGTTGCTCCCCCAGCACACCTATTATACATTTTGTTGCTGACCACATCATGGGGCCTGCTGGTGCTTCATGACTTGCTTGCGTAGCTTGTGTTTCGATTTGTTCACAATAGAGGAAAAATGATTACACAATATTGAGTGTGCTAGATGTTTTCAATGAGCCCATTCAGAACAGTGAATGTGGCTGGTGACAGATTACCAAGAAAGCTAAGACTAGAAGTTGCAAAAGAAATCCCTCAAGTAAACACTGGGCTGTTCGGGTTAAATAACTCTGACCTGATTTACGTTTAGATCAAATAATCTTTTTATTTAACAAATGTACAACAGAACACATGATACATGTATCGGCTACCCAAACACAGAACTCTACATGATCCATCACGCGGGTACAAAACTTACATTTGTACTCCCATCTAACACACATTACACAAACATGTTTCTTATGCTATTTACATAGCACACACTGGCTACTTCCTAAGTGACAACTAGGGATGCATCAATACTATTTCAGCAACAACAATCTCCATGCTGTTTTAACCTTTCAACTAACTCGACAGCTGTATTTTACACGACTACCAAACATTTCACAAAGCATGTCTTTACTTTTTAGATCGATTTCCTGCCTTCACTGGCAGCTTTTGGTTTCTATACATTTTCAGGAACTGCTTTGAAAACTCAGATGGCTGAGTGTACCTGAATGCACCGCCAAAGTGTTCAAATCGACACTGTCGCTGTAATAAAAGACAGCAAGTTGTAAAATTGTAAATTTATTTGTAACCTGGATGTTATGGAAGCTGAGGGCTGCTTGAAGGCAGGTAGTCAAACTTTAAACTTGTGCTTTGGAAAAACGTGGGCAGAAATGTAAAGTACATGCAATTTGCAGTTAATGCGCTGAAACATGCGAAACACTGGTATGTTCATTTAAATCCAACAGATTGCAGCATTATAATCTGTTACTAAATGAAGCAGACATAAGCAACCAGTTCAGTGACATCACCTGATGTCCTTCGTTTAGAAAGACATCCTTGTTCCACTGGTGAAAAAGTAAGAAATTCCAGTTGTAAAGACGTGATTAGTGGATCTCTCTGCAACATTTCAGTAGTGATCAGACTGACTGATGATCCTGGCTCCATCTGGTGCCACTAGAACAAGTAGTATTCATTTTGAATTTGTGGAAACTGTACATTATGATTTATCGTATGGAAATTCTGGTTGTTGTTGCTGTCTCGTGTCTTTTCGGCTATAAGTGTTGAGCACAGTTTGGTGCAATACACTCAAAGAAACTGATCAATCACCCAACTAGTATTAATGCATCCATGATTCAACATGATAAAAAATCTGGCGAGTAGAACTCATCCGCCCTTTATCATCTGATCCCAAACAAACTTTTTGCTGGTGATAATGTTCTTTTTCCACAACGTCCTTTGCTTTTCCATCTCAGCTGGAGGAAATGATGAGCAGCCACCTTAGCCCTTCTCCTGAAATGATACTTAGGGAAAGTGGTGCACTGGCTTGTTTGTCCTGGAGTGAGATCCCATAGTGCTGAACATTAACCAATCATAAGAACTGGGGAAGAGGAAGCTCTATGCAGCTCTCTCAGACACACACCCTCATCTACGCCAAAGCACGGATGACTGAGCACACACACACACACACACACACACACACACACACACACACACACACACACTGCAGTCCCCTTCAGAAAACAACCAAAGTGACTGGTAAGTATTCAGCTCCACCTTCTCCGGTACCAAAAGTGGCTGTTTGTCTCTTTAAGTGTCTCGTTCTCTGAGATGACAGTCTATTTCTTCATCTTGAGGTCGGCCTCCATGGCACTACGGCGACCTCTGGTGCCTCCGTCCTGCAGCAGAGAAAGATGAGGAGAAACGGGGAAAAAGAAAATAAATGAGAGCAGGAGAAAGAATTAACATAAGAGTGGAAAGGTCAGTGGTCAGCTGGACAGCGTGAAGGGAGGCCCTGTGGCGGACCTCCTCACGTGATTGAGCTCCGCACAAAAACACAGCACAGTCCACTTCGGAAGGCTTCCTCCCCAAATGAAGAACATAAAAAAATAAATAATGGTGAGAAAGAAAAAGTAAGATTTAAAACGAAAAGAAGGAGAAAAGAAATTAGAACATGCAGAGACACGGACAATCGCACGTAAACAGAAAAACACAGGAAACCGGCATGGGGTCATTAACCGAAGGTCGACGGAAGCTTGGGTGATGAAAGGTTACTGGAGCCTGTGTGTTTACGTGTGTTTATGTTTGTGTGTGTGTGTGTGTGTGTGTGTGTGTGTGTGTGTGTGTGTGTGTGTGTGTGTGTGGTGCGAATATTGTGTCCAAACAGAACTTAAATTTTATGAGGGTGACACAGACAGTGATGTGTGAGAGCATGTGAGAAACTGTAAGAGCAAGAGGGAGAGGGAAAGGTGACCTTTAATTCTGATCCTTAACACATCTGTACAGCTGAATACGGCTGAGTACCGACAGTGTGTGTTCATTTTCCTCAGTACTACTAAGTATGTGATACTAAAGTTTAGTAGCTTTAGTCACACCGGTTGTAAAACCTGATGGACTAGATATCTACTTTCCATAAACAGGAGAGAAAAAGTCCAAAGTCTGACACGTGAAGGAAACTGTTCTGTGTCTGAGCGAAAGAAAACTAAAAAACTAAAAATCTGACCTTTTCTAAAAGCCATTAAATTCTATTGAAGGTGTCTCACAAAGTTAAAACATTTTCAGTTATTTCACACGAGAGATTTCTGTATTTGCGTTTTTCTCTGCTCGTCTTACTGGTTTAAGTGGGCGGGACTCACTTACAAAAAGGTGATGTCATGTACTGTGCACCAATCAGTCTTAAGGAATATTTGAATCAAAACAACAACTGTTGCGAGGCTGTTTGATAATGTTATCAGACAAATGTGAATAAAATCTGATCAAACCACACTCACAAATTTAACTATCAATAAATAATATTGTGTACACTTGATTTCTTTAGAAAAGTCTAGAATATTTACAGTTTCAAGTGTTTATAATTTAATAGTTTTTCTTTAACTGATGCTGGATTTGATATCAATATTTGGGAGTTCAAAAAAATCCCACATCAGCCAATTGTATTTTTTTTTTAAAAACATTAACATTTTGATATGGACCCTGTCAATTTTTTTCTTTTATTTAAATTGTGCCCAAGACACATGTTGAGCAGGATGTAGTGTAGCTGAAAAATACAATATTTTAAAGCTGGACTTTTGTTAATATTCAGGCTATAAACCCATAATAATATTTCATTAATGGCTTATATACTTGTCAGGCTTTTAAATTACCTGAATGGCAAACGTTTAGTTTTTCCAGTTATATTATTGATTAACACCAATAATATAAATATTTAAATCCTTTCTACTTTTTTTTTTACAACAGGTTTATTTACTGCCACCAATATACAACTGGACAGAGAGAGAAAGCAAAGAAAGGAGATGAGGGGAACAGACTGATGTGTATACTGTGTGTGTGTGTGTTTGTTTGCATTGAGACAAGCGTGTGCGGAGCGTGGCCTGGTTCTGGTGAAATCTGAGGGAGAACCTGAATACTTACAAAGAGAGAGAGAAGGAAAGCAGGAGAGGCCATTGGGACACTGTCCTGTAGGAGGACAAACATTGGAGTGAGAAAGAGAGAAAAGACACACATGTGCGTGAGAAGCAAGTTTCATACAAGTCTGCGCAAAACACAGGAGCACGCTGGGGGACGGGAGTCCATTTGACTGCTGCACGGCACGTACACAAACACATACACCCATTCACACCGCGTCACAAAGACAGATAGCCACACACACACACACACACACACACACACACACACACACACACAGAGCGTAAATAGTGACATTCATGACACACACAAGAAGGCCCTCCCATACACACTAACATGTCTTTAACGCAGCTCACAACCCCCTCAAGTCCCATCATGGCTTGTGTGAAAAATATCATGACTTACATTCATTCAGCTGTGGCACTTCTATAAGCTACATGTTACATATCATCTAAATTAACCTATAGAATAATGTGGCAGTCTCATATCCACTCCAGCTGAGCTCGCTGTGGAGAAACAGCCAAACAAAGATTAAAAAACATTTTATAAATTTGTGTAACAACTCGCCAGGTATATCCTATACAGTAAACCAGTTGCAAAATTTGCAAAAATTAAACACACAATTTAGCACATTCCCAGATATTCTCTGTCTGGAGACGACTTTTTAAAATCATATCATACTGAAAAAAATGCCATGAGTAGCAGGGACCACGTTAGACCCACACTCAAGTCTCCCACATTCATGCAGTTTAAGTAATACACACACAGCTGCGAATAAGAAACTTCACTGCGGACATTTGCAGATAGACAGTCAGACAGACAGGGGCAGAAACAGGTGAGTCAGTGACAGGCAGACAGACAGAAGTTAGTGAGGAGAGGTGCAGCCAGCATGCAGGACATGAATCAGCTGGGAAGTCAAGACCAGGATCATACCACTGAAGCATGTACGGAAAGCGGAGGGAAGTGTTGATCAAACCCCTCTGTGGTTTAACACTGTGTGTGTGTGTGTGTGTGTCTTTTGTACATGTGAACATTTTGTGTGTGAATATGATAATGTTCCAAATATATTTCCCTAGATTCACAAATATAAAAGTAGCATGAATTCAACAGTTGTTATATAACAAGGCATATTTTCAGTGTCTAACCTGGAATATAGAATAATTTCATTTAAGTTATCATGTTTTGAACTGAGACACAAAGAGCTTTAGCATCACCTGCCATCATGTATTCTGCGGTGGTTCAAACAGCATGGTGTATAAGTTATATAACGCTAACAGCACTTCTATCACTTTAGATGACCACAGTGCTACAAGTTGCAAGTGTTTCACTTTAGATTTAGTGTGAAACACTGGATGTTATACTGTAGCAGACACACATGGATGATTTTGGTAATTACAATTCTACATGAAACACCAGAAAGTCAGTTTCCCAGAATGCTTATGGTTTTCTCTGAAGACAAATTCTGTGCAAAACAGAGGGCGTTATTCCAATGATCCATTCAATCTAGATCTGCACACATTATTACACATTTGCTTGTTACTTGAGGAAAAACATATTCTTCAATTACCACTGAAGAAGAGATTGCATTACCTAGTATCAGGTACATATCTGTGAAGTCCACAGGTGATACAGTTCCTATGTCAAACAGACTTTCACAAGTCACATGCAAGTCTTTGGTCAATGACCAGCTCACTTAAAACACCCTAATCTGTTTAGATTAGAGGCCTAAGGACCTCACCCCTGCACATTATGGTTGATCATGGATATGTTAGAGTAGGAGCAGAGTGCTTTAGTATGCAAATCAATACATGTGCTTGCTCCCAAGGTCAGTATAGACAGCTGGAGAATGAAGAAGAGGACTATGCCACAGGAGTGGTTTGACAAATTTCTCTGGGCGTGTTGATCTCAGACCTGGGCAGGAAATCGTAATTTTTCATGTCAACTCTAAAATCAATACACTTGTGAACTCAATTCATAACTCTGCGCTACGAACAAGGGAGACTGAGCCTGCAACATTATAAACAAAGACTCAGTCATTTTGCTATAGCACCTCCATGGTACAATTACGCTGTTGACATTTTATCACTCAACACACGTCACAGTTGAGCTTCAGAACATCAACAGCTTTATAGAGTTCTTTAACATAATAACACTTGACACTTTGAGAGATGTTTAAGGGGAATCTTAATTTCACCCCCAACAAGTCACCCAACCCACCTTCTCAGCTGGCTCTCCTGGCTTACGGTTTCCCTCCCTCCCGCGGAGGCTCTTGGCGGAGATGGCACTCTCTGACGTCTGCATGATGAGCTGCGTGGCCAGGAACTGCTGCACGTGCTCCAGGACGTCACGCTGCATCTCCAGCGCCATGTGGTACACGTCGTGGTCCGACGAGTTGTACATGACGGCGTTCTGAAACATCAGCATGATATCTCGCTGGAACTCCGCTGTCGTACGGATCACGCCGGACTCAATGTTCTTTTTTATGGCCGACAGGTCCATGGGTCTGGAACAGGACGGGTGGTAGGAGTCCCAGGGCAGAGATAGATGTTTGTATTAAAGTTTGTGTCTCCTATAAACGATCACTGTATCTTCTGATATTTAACAGAATTACATTACTTTTAGTATCGTATAATATTAACACGTTAGGTGCCATGTCAAGCTCACTTGTGCTACAAAAGAATTAAACACACAAAGTTTCTAGGACCCTGGGAAGAAAGCTTATGAATTTCTTTGAACCACAGTAACAGCCTGAGAGTGTAATTTCACTGAAAAATCAAGTGAGTGTGAGTGTGTGTTTGAGGTCAGACCTGTGTACGATGCTGTGGTAACCCGGGGCAATGTCATCTGACACAGGCTGCAGGAAGACACTGGCATACCTGAGACACATGACAACAGCAACAACAGTAAAACACATTTCCCTTTAAAACAGCTGCAGTGAGATCTTTTTTTTGCAGACTATGTTTCCTGTAACTAAATATTTATTTCTCCAAAGAGGTGATATATCACTTTCACTGTGCACACGTGTTTGTTGAAAAGATAAAGTGAGAACTAAGGCACCAAGAAACAAAAACATTGCAGACTAAGGAGTTGTGTCCAGAATTAGACCTGTCTGTTAACTGTCTTTCTCATTTCTGTCATTGTTTCACAAACCTTTGGCTGCTATTGGCTACTGGCCAAGACTGTAGTGAACATAACTCTTGAAACCCTTTTCTGTTTGCACTCTACAGGGATACACTACATTACATAGAAATGAGACCTCAGTACGTTTAAGAGAGTTGGCTTCATGGTATTGATGATGAGGATGGTATTATCATAATGCAGCATGAATGGACCTAATATGGTTCATATATATTACTATTCTTAGACAAGAAACTCCCTGTTGTTAAATGACAAACAAAAGCTCAATACAATCAAGATGATTTTGTGACGACATTAAAACTTACAGAGCAAAAAAAAATAATTTTCCAAATGAGACTGACTGGGAGCTATTGCTGAAGTATTTTGACAAAAAATGATTGATTTTTGATGCAGGGAAAGGCCAAGACGCTCCACCTGTGGTTGGCTGCAGCTCTCCACACCAGCATAATGGCTTTCTTCCAGATCTTCTGCGCCTGCACTGCCTCCTGGTCCTCACCACATGTAGATCTGATGCACAAAGACAGAGTTGAACAGAAGGGAGAGAGAGGTAGTGAGTGGGAAATGAAGAGAGGATTGTAAAGTCCACAGTGAATGGAAATGGAAAGCAGAAGAGAAACCCCAAGTGGCAGAGAGACAAAAGCACATGCTGTTAGAATTTTTGATGTCAGCAGTCACAGACTGCTTAGCTCAGAGAAATGGAGTCCTAATCTGATTCAGAGGTCATGACATAAATATTCATGACAAATGCCAGCTAAGCTTTATCTAGTTTTAACACAGCAGTTCACTTTAAATGTTTTGTTGCACGGGTTATCTCAGGACGTTGCCCTGAAGTAACCAGTACCCAGTAGATAAAAATGGTGATTATCACAATTATCACATCACTTCTGCAACCGTGAATGACACATACAGCTGGGACGAAGAAGCCGGGCTGCTGGCCAGTGAATCGGCCGTGTAGCGTTGTGAGGGTGGGCCGTAGCCATCTTCACTCTCGCTGGCAGCCCGCTCCACCTCAGACAGATAGGGCCCCTCCCCAGATTCCTCCTTCAGCTCCATCCCTTCTTCAGGGTCACCCTCACTGCCCGCCTCCTCCTCCTTTACCTCCTGGAACAAACATACAAACAAGTAAAATGACTGCAATTTACAAAGGATGTTTGTATGTGTAAGTATGAATACGTGTGTTACCTTGGACTCTTTTCCAGACACAGAGCTGTCCTCAGAGTCTGTGGAAGAAGAATGAGAAGAGGATTAAATAACATAAACATACGAGTATGATTTGTGTATGTGTGCTCAACACCCACCTAGACATGGCGGGTTGGGCTCAGGCTGGCTCCACTCCTCTCCTTCACTTTTCACTGTTGCTTCAGTGGCCTCCTTCCCTGTCGCCCCCTCCTCAGTAACCTCAATTCCTGTAGCGCCGTCATCAGAGGCGACAGAAGAAGTGACATCACTTCCGGTCACCTCAGGCCCCTCACAGTTTCCCTTAATCTGCTCTTCTCTTTTAATCTCTGGTTGGTTCTGGGTCTCTGTGCTCGCAGGAGTCGGGGCTGACATCGCGGTGACATCCTGAGACTCCTGTGTGGGGTTGGAGTCTTGGACCGTGGGTGTAGGATCTGAAGCCTTCAGCTCCTGGGTCTCCCAGGGGCCAGGGAGAGTGTGTCCCTCTGAAACAGCCTCTTCACACAGAGAGAGTGCTGCTTCTACCGCTGCTGCATCCAAAGCCTCCACAGAGTCATCGACCTAAGAAGAGGGCAGGAGGGCAGGGATTATTACAAGCTGAAACACAACTAGTATAAACTACACAATGTGATCTTAATGACTGAACAAATGTTGCTTATGTTATATAATGCTTTATCCACTGGAGCCTTCTGCACTGGGAACTGATGACAGCAGACACACTGACACAGCAACTACTGTACCTTCTCCTCTATGATGGCGATGATGTCTCCTACTGTCTCCAGGTCCAGTTCGTCTCCCATATAAGACACTGCTACAAGGTCCTCTTCTACTAATCCCGTCTCCTCACCGAGCTCTGCCTTCACTGCAGCTTCTGCTTCTGCTTCACCCTCTGCAAACACACACACAGGAGTAATTAAGAACACGAGCACACAATACAATCGTCACTGCAATTTAAGTTTTAAGTAATATAATGGAAGCTGATCTGGGGTGTTGTGATCATAGTTTATGTCGCCATGATGCCTGGCTGTATTTGTCTCTTTGTTTTTTTAAACAAGCTTTTAATTGTATTATGTGTATTTGGCTGCATAGTGCAGAGTCAGGACATTTTGAATATATCTCCCAGGGTAGCAGCCAAACATCAAACAAAGCACATGCACCATATTCTACCTATTGATCAATAAAAGGCAGTGTCATTCTCCCATGAATCATCCCGAGTAACAAAGGCATTATTCAATAACCCATTCTTAAAAGCAGGAAATGTGTCTTTACGTGTGCACACATGAAGTGTTATGTGTATTTATATATGTATATTTACCTGTGATGACCTCATGACCAGGTGGTAAGGCAGTGGCTGCAGTGGCTGTCTGTAGTCCATTGGTGAGGTTTCCAGTCGAATCTCCCTCCGCCACCTGACATCAACAAATAAAAAATTTAAAAAATAAAACAAATTAAAAAAAAAAAACACCATCAGGTTTATTCCAGTCCTGAGAAAAAAATTTCAATATAATATGAATTCTCGTCAATTTTGAAAACTGCTGTGAGACCTGTTGCCTGTGAATCTTTACTGCTTAAAATGAAAATGCACCAAAATAAGAATGAATGCATTTAAGGATAAAACCTGTGAGCATGTCAAACACCTGTATCCTCATCAAGACTAACCAGGTAGTTAAATGTGATATTCCAGGATTTCCTTTTGTACTGACAAGGTATTCTTATAGTTTAGTACTAATCTATTGGTACTAATAGGATATGGGAATTAAGTACAGCAACTTTAAGGCAGTTATAACTGAGTGTTGTTCAATTTCATTCCTGTATTCTTGTAGCTTTGGACGTTATCACCCAAGCAAAGGTGCCACCTACCAGGCGGGAGCTAGCTGACATGAGGTTGCTTTTTTTCAGCAGTTCTGACAGAAGAGGTGAGGGCGGTGGTGTGGCTTTCTGGGCCAGGAGCCTCTTCTGTGGTGAGTCATCTACTAGAGCAGCCAGGCCTCCATCTTTGGGCCCGGGACCTGGAGCGTCCGTTGCAGGTAGAAACACTGCGACCCCCTGGGCCTGGCAGAGGCAGCAAAGAATCAGCAAGAGTGGTTGGCACAGGCAACCACAATATTGTCAAAACACTTCCTCCTTCCAGCTGGTGTTGGGTTTGCCAAATACACCATAATGTGAGATGAGCTTTTGCCATGGACTCATGAGGAGACAAAAAAAAAACATGTTGATGGTACAGAGGCAATTCTGTGGAGCCCACAGTGAAGTCAGTGCTGAATTCAAAGTGAAGGTACTGTCTTAAACAGACACAAGAGTCTAATGTGAACAGAGGTCTTGACAGTGAATTACAGTATATGAGACAAGTCCATTTCAATGAAGACTGAAATATACTTTTGTCGACTGAAGTACCTGTGAGTACCAATATGTTCTGTGGAATTAATTTCACATTACAAGACAGCAAAACTGTACTTTGGAAAATGTCTTTGCTCGATAAAGAAAAGATTATGTACCACACTTTTCTCTCAGCACAGGCAGTATTCTCATCGTATCTCATCACTGCTTAATGAGTATGTTCTTACAACTGAGTGGGTGGTGGTGTCGTCGGGGGCAACACCTCCTGTGTCCATGGGCGGTGTGGGGACTGAAGAGTCGGCCTGAGAATCCAGCGTCGGCGGGCTGGCACCCAGAGGAGAACGCACAGTTACACTGGGCAGACGCTTAGGTGTGTTTTTCGCCGCCTGACGAGCTGTGACAGAGAGAGAGTGGGTCAGACAGGGTGACAGAGAGAAAGAGTCCATTTTTTTTGAGGGAACTCGGTTCAGGGAATTAAGAGAAAAAAACTGCAACAAAGAAATCATGAGCAAGGCATCATGCGATAGCACTGTGTTTACAACCCAAGCACGTCAGATAAACAACCCCTTGTCTTAACAGGAAAGAAAAAAAATAAGAAATAAAAGAGGCTGGGGCAAAGTGTTCTAGTAGTGGCAGATTTATTGCATTAAGACTGAGAAGTCTTCACTGGTATATAAATGTGAAAAAACCCTGTCCTTCTACTTCTCCTTTGTTGGTTTCCATGTTTGGTCATGGCCCTCTTTTTAATGCATTATTTCACAGATATTTATAGACAGAATGCTGTTTATCATTTAAGGTGTAAACAATGTGTCTGCAATGTCACATCAGTTTTTCTTTGTTCTTAACAATGTCATGAAACCATACAACACTGCAAACACTGATCTTGGCAAAGCAGCAGATAAAGCGCTCACACCTTAAAAAACAAATGTATTTGGCAAATGGAGATGTTGTTAATTTATTATATACTGATGCACCTCCAAAACTCTCTCATATCTTGCCAGGCAATGTGTGAGGAGTGACACAATGGAATCACAGATCCTACAGATAAAGTGTGAAGTTCACAATAAATACCCAAATGATCCAAGATACAGGTTCTCCAGAAGAAAAATTACATTTTTCAAAATAAGGCCTTCACAGTGTGCAGACTTAATCTACCTTGGTACGCCGTTTCTGTTGCTTTCCTCTTCTGCTCTGCTTCCTCCTCATCCTGCTTCTTCTTTCTGGAGTTGGAAAAACAACTCAAACAACTCAAATGACTGACAATTTGAGGAGATGGTGGCAGAAGCAAGGGAAAAGATTGTGGCTGAAAAGCTGCGAGTTCTAATCCCAGAACCAACTGGGGAACCTCTATTCCAATAACTACTATTGAGGTGTCATTGCTCGCTGAACAGCAGAGACTATAGTTTAACTACACAACTAGCTGACTGAACATTTTGAATGAGATGTTTTGTGTTTTCAGAAACCTTCTCATGAACCATAATGTTGGACAATGTTGTTGACGCTACATGAAACGTCATGACATCACCAAAATGATTGACACTCATCCCCTCGGGACTAGGAAGGCCTGCACCACATTTTGTGGCAATCCATATTTCACTTTTATGGACAAAAGAGATGGACAACACACCAACCAAACCAACAAGACTTGCCTAAAGCCGTGCTGCTACTGTAGCTTGTAAAACAGCTGATATGTTTGTATTTGAATATGCTGTAGCTCACATATCAAGTACATAGTAATAACTGAGTCAAAACAATTGGCATCAAACAGAAGAACTGGTAAGAGTCTTACAGTGTGATCTCTGCCCAAAGCTCCTTCAGCTGGGAGTCCATATGACCTGTCTGGATCAGATCCACCTCCTTCTTCAACTTCCTGTCAGGACAAAAATCACAGGGAGGTTAAAGGTCATATCTCACAGTCATCAAAGGTCTTTCTTTTAGGTGTACATGTACCTGTACTGCTCTTGTGTGTCTCGTAGTAGTTTTTTCAGCTCCTCTATCCTCTCAGTGGTCAGCCTTCGAACGATGACATCTTCAATGGTCTCGACAACCTCACCCTTCTCACCACGCTTACGCCTGGAGCAAAGATGGGCACACGAGACACATGAAGACAACTTTTAAAATATCTTGGTGGTTTAAAAAAAACAAAACAAAAACAATGCCATCATACTGCACATAAGTGTGTGTGTGTGTGTGTGTGTGTGTGTGTGTGTGTGTGTGTGTGTGTGTGTGTGTGTGTGTGTGTGTGTTATCATACTAACTTTGGTGCTTCTGTAGCTTCCAGCAATTCAGAGTATTGTGAGGCACAGTGCTGAGAAAATAGAAAACAGGTTTTCTTGAAACAACTGCTACAACAAAGACGGCATCCTATCCTTGCATTAAACCTAACTAATAGAATCAGACAGTGAGAGAGACAGTTGTGTAGATTTGCAGCTCTCTCACCTTCTGTGAGAACCAGTCAGGCGGACGACCAGGCTCTGAGAAAGGCTTGATGGCTCTGCTTACAGACACCCTGGAAGACAAAGAGGTTCCTCAGAATAAACACACATACTGAGAAGACAATCTGAAAATTAATGCATGTGGTGACTGAAGACATGCATTCACATTAGGAATAAATGAAGACAGGTGAAAGAAATCCAGGGTATTTTGGGGGGGGGAAATCCTGCTCAATGTCACTGATCTTCAGCACTGGCACAGCCACAATGACCAATTTCTGTTTGTGCATTCTTTACCAATTTATTTGTTTATTTATTTTTTTAATTGTTTAAACACTCAGATTGAGGTTAATGTTCTCTTGCTGATTGTGCTGATTGATTGTCAAAGATATGTGCCACCATTATTTGAGATCCTACCTGTCACTGACACTGTTCAGATATTATAACTTGTCCAAGTCTGACCTCTAGCTGTGAGAAGTGAGATGACCTGTCTTAACAGCACATACTAGTAATACACTTTTTGCACCATGTCCGAAAAGATGGACATAATAATAATAATAATCATGCACGTGAGCTGATATTTGACCGCAGCTCATTTTGTAAGAGAAAAACCTTCAGTCTGCCTCTTACAATGAAGTGTGTGGTAATGTGGATTAATGCTCATTGTTGAAGAAACATAAGGACAAAAACCTCCAGGTGTTAAAAGGTCAAAAATAATTTGTTTCATAAACTGATTTGTTTGCATCTTTCCACACACTGTCTTCCACATCTGTACTGCATTTTTAGGTGAATTTAATCTTTTCTGGACAATGGGATTCATGCATTTAGTGGTTGTACTGCTCATACTGAGAGAATAACAAAAACAGAGCTACAATTGAGACAGTATGATGGTGCATTTGTTTCATTTACTGTCTGTGCAGCTATGAGCGAAATCCTCTCACATTCCACATCTCCTTTTTACTTTTTATTCTAGTCCTGCATCCCACCCATCATATGAATGTTTCAAATACAACAGGCAGAAATCTGCCTGTATTATGTTCAATTTGTTGTATTTTGAGAAGGTTTTCTTTTTACCAGTTTTGGTCACCACTCCTCATGACTGAGGAGGCCAGGCACAGTTTCTCCCTGACTGACCAGGGCTCCGTTGGCCCCACATTCAGTATCTTGTGTTCTGTGGGGGGACAAAACAAAGATATACAGAGAGATTACAAAAAGTCCAGGCATTCCTGACAGCTCCCAGCCGACTAATGTATTTTGCTAATATGTTAAGAAATCACTGCACTTTTTGTAGGTATCTTGAGCTGCTCAGTTTGGTTTTATTCTGTCATATATCAATAAACACAAAAATACTCGTCCAAATATCAACACAAAACAAAGAACACAAAGATAAATAACAACGTCAAAATATTCAGTTACAGTACCCTCTGTCAGAGCTGATTAATTAATATTTGTTCATTTTAAACTTAACGTTAAATTCATGTTTTCTCGGGCTGATGGTGTGTTTTGTTTTGTTGTTTTGTTTTTACGTATGAGTTCGTTTCAGGTCCTGTTTATACCCTATCAAATAAACCGTATAGTCTATGATGTGTCAGTGAGACAAAGGTAAATGATATGAAACAGACACAGTAGCGCTGTTGAATTACTTCTAGATTTTATTATTTATCAAAGTTGGCTAGCTATCGTTAGCTACATTGACGATATTAGCGTGTATCATGTTCAGAGGGTGGTATTAAGATGTATTATTGTATTGCACCTTTTATTTACATCTGCTGGTGCTTGAATACAATTATAAAAGCAGACAAAATAAATAAAAATAGTTAAATGCCATGGTTCCACATACAATAACATACAGTAAGCTAATGTTTAAACAGCCGCGTTAGCTTAGCACTGTTGATTACGGGGGGACCCATTCATGAGACACACACAGCTACACGATATAACGTTTTCATCAAATAACGACACTACTGCGACCGGTTAAACTAATGGGAATGCGCTGCTTGGGGTTTATTAGGCGTTCGTTTTGCTGTAAATCACAATGAATCATCGAGAAAGAGTTAAAAAAATATATATTACTCACTGCCGATACCGCTCGCCATTTCTTTTGTGACAATGCCGTGAGCCCAACTTCCGCCGGAAAGGTTTGAGTGGTACACACGCTACGGTCGGTGCACTGGAACATAGAGGATCTTTGACTGGAACCATCGACTGTATATAGAAGGAAAGCGAAAAGGATTTTTTTTTCTTTTTAATGGGGTGTCGATGTTTGCAGAGCTGCTGCTGCTGTCACTGAGGATTTTCCATTTCCAGATTGAGTTAGACTTGAAAGCTAACAGGATATAACAAGTCTTTATGTTGTGATAATACCTGACTGTTGATTCTTCTTTCGAATGTATATTACTGTAAATGGGAGCGAGAAGACCACGTCTCAGAAACATTTTAGAAATACAGAGGTCATTAATCTAAATTCCCCAATACAAAAATTAATTAAACACATGAACACATTTCAGGTATTCAAATAAAAAAAAAAATCTGATTTCTGTTTTTCTGCTCTTTCTTTACGCATTAAAATGGTTGAATAATACTTTTATAAATATACTTTATTATACTTTTTTTGTGTTACAGCAAATAGCTGTTGTTGTAAATCCAGTAACATAAAAGATCATCTTGTATTACTAGTACTTAAGGTACTGTAAGGTGTAGGGCTGAACAATTAATCAAAATATTATAATATGGCCAATGCAATATCCGAATAGCAGCTGCTAAAATTTTTTGATGAAGGTAAAATGAAGTATTGTGGTGCTACGAATCATATTCTCCATACGTAAGGGAACATGCTTGTTTGGTACAAGACCTAACAAAAACATATCATCACATCATCTTTTTTTCTTTTTTTTTTCAGTGAAAGTGAAATGCAAAATGACCATTCCCACTAAAATTCTAAATCATCGCAATAGCAATATAATCTGAACAGGATATTTTTTTCATACCATTCAGACCTAAGGTAAAGACAGCCAGTGCCTGGATAAGCGACAGGAATCTGGAGTTGTGTTACACCTGAGTGCTGATCAGGACAGATCTAATGAGGTTGAGATTCACAGTCTATTCTAAATGTAGGTTATCTTTTAATGATACACAGAAATAATAAATGTCTTTAATTGGGAAAAAGTCTAACTTTCAAGTAGAGATACTTTGTTAACTAAATGCTGAGTTGAATCATTTAAAGAGCAACTTAACACCAGGCTGAAAAGAAGTGTACAATTTTAAATCTGTTTCATCTGGAGAACTCTGTTGCACCTGTAACCACAGACAACTGTGATGTCACAGTGTAGTGACATATCACTGAGTACACTTCTACATCACCGCAGCAATGTGAGAAATTAAACAACTGGAAGTCAGTGGAGAAGGTTTTCAGCTTGTGTGCTTGTTGACTACTGAACAGAAATGGTTCAAAAAGCCAACCCCAGACCCCTTAGGTAATTGTCTATTTCCTGGTGCTAATGTCCTGAGCTGCCCGGTGGTTTCGGAAACAAACATGTACTTTCTCAGTTGCTACAAGGGCTGATTTTGTGCAGTCTAGGTTAATATTTGCCCTATTACTGCTGCCATTCCTCACGTCACATTAATTAACTAAAAGGCAAGGGCCAGTGTTGGATACAAATCCACATATGAAGCAATTTATATTTGTTCATAGCTAGATGATTTATTATTTTTTAGTGCTGAAAATATAAATATTTAAGTTAGCATTACACTGAAGCAAAGTGTTCTCTCCCCAAACTGCACGTCTTGATGGCAAAAAGTTGACATAAAACATGACTCCTCATGCTATTTTATGAAGTAATTTTTAATTGCTGTGACAAAACCAAAGCCTACTAAACAAGTCATAAGCCTGTCATACTATTGTTACTCTCACCTGAAACTGCTTCTCCGCACTTCCAAAAGTAAAAAAACTGACAACAGACACTGGGTTATCATAGAAAACTTAACAGTTTGTTACGTGTGTTGAGAAAATGAAAACATTCACAATGTTTAAATATTGGCAGTCTTTATTTCAACAAGACTAAGAAATGTTGTTTGATATACATTTTCTCTTACAATTTAACATCTATCTCATCTCGTTTTTCCATAGCATTTAGGAGATACTCTGACAAGTAAAAATCTGGTGAACTGTTACCGCCTCTTTTAGAGACATCTAAAAAACGGCTGCTCTTTATTTACACTTTTTTTTTTTTTTTTTTTTTTTTTTAAATTCTTTTCAGTCAAGTCACTCACTCTCTCCTCAGAAAGTGAGTCCTTTCTGTTCTTGTGGGCCAAAGGCAGAGGGAAAGGTTTCAACACCTGTCCAACTCAACTTCAAGGTCACTAGACTGAAGTTGCTTTATGGATCGAACGGACATCATCCAGCAGCTGGACCAGCTCCTGCCAGCCGGGAAATGTTGCTGCCCTGGCCCGCAAGCACAGACATTTACCATCATCACCCAAAATATTTCCTCTGACTCAGAAAGTTGGGTTTCTTCACACTTGACACAACTCTTCCACATGACACGAACACATGCACAAGCCCTTGTAGAAATGTTGGTGGAACACAAAAAAAAAAAAAAAAAAAAAAAAATCAGGAGAACTGAACCAATTACATGCAGAAGTAATGCCAAATCCAGCTGCTGAAGCACAGCTCCATTATTTTAAATTAAGGCTTCAGTATTTTACACAGGTTGCATAGATGTTTCATCAAATCCTTCAAAGTCAGATTCCTAATATTGATGTCCTTGTTGATGTGTTCCATGTCTGTTAGTTGGTAACATCATTTTGTTTGGAGAAAATTTAATTTCAAAGCCAAACAACAGACAAATATGAAACATGCAAATCCATTTTTCTGTTTTAATAAAATGCATATTTAAATCCCCCAAAACTGATACCAATTCAAATAGTTTAGGAAATATTTCACCTAAATGTTTGCATAAAGAAACTGAATACTGTATTTTGGATAATCTATGTCAGTTCTAAAAGCATGTTTGCAATGACATTAAAATACATGCATAAGTTACTGTACAAAAGCTACATGAGGCAGCTTCATTTTAGAGATGAAATGGGCAGGTAATGCAACTTACAGATCTGACTATCAAATTAGAAGACATTAGAAGAAAACCTTATGTTGTGCTTGTCAGCTGGTAACAATAAACTCAAACACCCTTCAGGGAATCTGAGACGAGAGATACAAATCATCAACATCTACATTCTTTTTTTTCTTTTTTTTTTTACCAAGTTGCTAATAATGTACCAAGGTTAAAAAAAACGAAGATCAGGCACCATATGTTGCATTAATTTTGGCAGCACTTGTGACAATACTTCAACATTTCCGTCTTGAGTCGAAATGATGAGAACGTGAGGATGATGATAGGTAGATCAAATGGTTCAGGATGAATCCATTTATACTGACACCGGCCATTTAAGAGGTACAAGTGTGTATTGTGGGGTGTGGGCAAAAAAAAGCCCCAAAACACTGCACATTGACCAAAAGTGCCCCCATGTTCTGTGCACACTGTTCTCTTCCACCACCTAAAACTAGCAGTAAAATCCACTGTAGTACCTAATATATATCTTCATACCAAAAATAGCTAAAAGTTACAACACCTCTTCAACATAAAACCCTGTATTAAAATATTCTTTTCTTGATTTCATTTGATCACCGTCTTTTGTTCCTCTTCTCTAGTTTAATGTGAAATGCTCTGAACATACGTGTCACCACCTTTTCTTTTCAAACAGTCAGACTGTATAGAGTCAGATCCTCTGTGCTGAACTGAGCTTACAGTACCAAAAAGGGCTTTCAGGACTTGTCAGCTTTGCCTTCTTTAGGGGTAATGCCAGGGGAGTCCTTCTCCTTCCACGCCAGTTACCTTCCACCAGGTTGCCAGCCACATATCTTAACTCTGTCAGACACTTTCAACTTAACATCACTGGATTGCATTGGCAATGAGAGCATGCATGAGGTATGGCCTTACAATTGAAGTCTTTAAGCTGAGGAAATTAAATTAAAAATCAAAGAAATTCAAAGTTAGGTTGTGATAATGCTTATAGCAGACATACAATATGCATGTTTGGGCTCGCAGCGTGCCCTAAAAGCTCTTCTAAAGACCGATTCCATCTCCAGGTGAAACATAAATACCTGTGTTCTAACTTCTCTCTCTGTATTTCTGAGAAGATTTTAAACATCTCTCCAAAGAAAACTGAACTAAAGCTCAAACTATTCCTTAGCAGAGGTCAACAGGTAGCTTTATAATTTCTGCCTGGATGATGTATGCAAATGTATAAATGCACAGACTCAAACATTCACAGTACGCACATTGATAATGTGCAAAATTGCTGTTATGAAATGTTAACATCCATAACAACATTACATGATTTGATGATCTCTGAATATTGGAAAGAAAATCCTCAGAAATATGAAGGTATGTCCCACCACAGGCACTCAATGTTCAACCAAACATCTTACTTACTCTTTAGTTATGAAATGGCAATCATTGAAGAAGGCACACAAATGAATTATGAGATTAAATTGCCAAAATAAGACAATTATATAATGTTTGTTATGCTGCAAGCAGAACCATAGTGAAGCTCCAAAAGAGCCATAAGGAGTAAAGGTTTATCTGGGGAAAAGGGGGAAAAAAAGGTGGATTTCTTGAGGAGAAAATCATATTGCTGTACACTGATGTCCTTAAAAACATACAAACAAATAATTAAAAGTGAAGTTATTATAATATTATGAAGAGTCTCCCCCCCCAATGGTGGACAGTCCAAGGTCCTGAAGGCAGTCTTTTTAAAGTCTCTCTGACAATTTTCCCCTTCGCTCGATCACTCCTGGTCATTCTCGTCCTCTCCCTGCCCAGCCAGTTTTATCTCAAGTGGGGAGCAAGCAGGGCCAGGGCCAGCCCACAGAGCACCAGCACCATGCTTCCCTGTGAGGGAACCCCGGCCGATGGAGTTCTGCCCACCACCACTTGATTAACCCGGGGTTTGCCAGGGTTCGGTGGCGTGGAGAAGTAGATGTCCCGGTCTGTGTCGCAGGATGGAGAGTCACAACCGCTGCCGCTCTCCTCTCCTCCACTGCCATCATCATCTGGAAAAAATAGAAAGACATGAGGGTCAGATGTTTGCAACTAGGACGTTATGTCATGAAGAAAATCATAAAGAACATTCCCAATCCTCACCGATCTCAACAGAGATGTCATTGCCACTGTGTGCAGCTTTGAGCCAGCTCGTCATTTCCTTCAAAACTGCAATCTGACTGCGAATCACAATGTCTGGCTTTGTTATGTCCACATCCACATCAGGGTTCGACACCTGATTGGCCAGTCCATTGCCAATGACAACTGACTCGTACCTATGTAGAGTGAGTCTCGATATTAGTCAAGATGTTGGATAATCTTATACTTATATATTTACATTTTGTAAAATTTAAAAAGTACTTGTTGGGTGTCTTGGTTTTACCTGCTTTTTGCTGTTCCGTTCCAGCACTCGTCCCCAGGTGCAATCCTCTCACCTGCACATACCGTCTCTGGCAATGTGGACCAGAACTTCTTAGCGTGTTTCAGCTTCTTCTTCACATCATTTGTCTATGCAGAAAACACACAAAGAAAAGGTAAAACACAACAACTTCAGAACAAAACAACAGTGATCTGACTGTGCTCTGGGTTTTCTTAGACCTTACCAATCGATCTAAACTGGTCCCAGCAGCAGTGGTGGGCCTAGCATCAGGGCTGTAGGGGCGGAAGCGGCCAGTAAAGCCTGTTTCTTTAACAGAACGCTTGGAACGGAAGGCCATGTTTGGTTTAGGCTGCCCACAACCCTGGAAAACCTGTCAGAGGTGGATAAGAATAAGTTAAGTAAGTGGAACTGAATCTTTTTTTTTTAATTTATTTCTTCTCTCTGTTAAAAATAGTGTAAAATGATACTGACTTTCTGAGACACTTGCATGCTGTTCTCCTGCATGTTCATAATGGCCTCCGAGATCTTCACGTCGATGGGATCCATGACAGACTCAAAATTAAATGGACCTTCGAGCCTCTCAGCGAGACTAAGCATGGCATCTGAAAAGCAGAAGATGAGAACATAAGATTAAAAAAAAAAAACGAGAAAATGAGTCATTGCAAAATACATTTTTCTTCAGTTTGAGGTGAATATTACAAAACACTGCCACTAGGGGGAAGCACACGCCCAGGGAGCAGGGGGCTGTTAACCAGTGAAACAGACTTAAGATTACTGCACAGCAAGGAGGCAGCAGACACCAGACTTCTCTTCAAACAGAAGCTGTGTCCGCAGCCAGGGACAGATAGACATCATGGGGGCATAGAAGCGTACAAGCTAGTTATGAAGAACAAATATAAAATATACAGAGGAAACTGTGGGTGTGTGTGCCACCCTGAATGTAAGGAAACTGATCTGGGTCTGTGTTTACACAACATGTACAATTCATACAGCCCCTCCCCTCTTACCCTTCACTTAAACAAGATACTAAAGAATGAGGGACGTGTTTGTACAAGTTTTTACAATACATACTATGTTCTTTTGTTAAACATGTTCTTGCCAAACTCAAGTGCAATAAAGTGGACGCAGTTGGAAAAAAAAAAATTTATCTCATCTAATTAGCCCAGTTCCATCATGCCAAAAATCCTGTCATGTCAAACTGGTTTCATGTGCACAAGGATAAAGAGGGAGCATGTTTAGATAAAACTAGATTAGATTGGGTTAGATTAGATAAAACTTTAATGATCTTTGGTGAAATATGAGCACTGCAGTGGCAACATGTAAAAGAAGGCAGGAGCAGGGATTTGTATAAATATGATGTGTTGCCAAATCAAACACTTTAAGCCATTATGGTTAAAGCAGGATGTGTTCAAGGTCAGGTTTGTCGTTTACCGAGGAAGTTGTTCCATTCTGTGTCCAAGTCAGCCTGGTTGGCCAAACAGCCGCGCATCACATTCAGACAGTAGTTCTGGCAGGGTTTCAGTGCCACTTGGCCCGAGCAGTAGGGACAGTACATCATCTTCATGACCGCTCGCACACAGCTGGGAGATGCACTGACCTGGAGGAGGCAGGGGGCAGTTAGCAGACTGTTATCATTGTACCACAGCAAAAACACTCATCCAACACCAGCACAGACACATACTTAGACTATGAAAAAGCATGAGCATTCATTTTATAAGCCAGTTCCACAAATCAGGATAATCTAATCATCCATGAATCACTTGCTACAGTGGAAAACATGCCATACCAGAACAGTCAAAGAGGTTTATGTTATCAGAGACACTGTACTGGAACCGCAGCCAGTTTTTCCAAGAAAGATATGAAGTCAGAGACGCAGAGGGGAGGGATGCACAGAGCCTTTGGAAAATAGTTCCAGTGTCCAGTGGTAGACTGACCACTATAGCCTTTTTTTTTTGGCAAATACAAAAGCTTCACAAGCACCTCTAACTTACCGTAGAAACTTTATTGACCACCTCTGGCATGAGTGCCAGGCCGCGCACAAAGGTGCGTGCCGCAACAAATGCCCGTGTCAGCTGGATGCGGAGCTTGCGAGGAACATCGCCGAATGGCTGTAGCTGGTCCGTGTGCCGGCTGACGCACTCCATGTATGCGTCACTGAATTCGTACTGCACGTTGACCAGCCGGAACATCCTCTCCAGGAGGTCGGCCCAGAAGTCCGACAGCATGGAGTCCAGGTTGACGGCAGCGCTGCCAGACGCGTAGTATCGAGTCAGGGCCTCGAAAAAGTTCTTGAACAGCTCTGCGTTCTGCACGTACATCATCCCGTAGGTTCTCACAAACATGTTGTGCAGCGAGACCTCTGCATTTTTCAAAAGCTCACGGAAAAACTCTGTGGAGAGAAGAAGAAGGATGGGGGTGGGGGGGTTAGTGTGATAACTTAATGTTGAGGTCAAAGCCAGAACAAACAATCTTAATGGTTAACATTTCAGAGTCTGTCTACAGGGAGGGATGTTATGAAGAAAATTGAATTTATATGATGGATAACATATTGCTTGGGACATCTACAGAGACAGAGCTGATTTTATCAATCTTAAACCCAAGATCTCTGGCATTGAATTTTAAATATTTGGGCTCAACAGACTCACATCTTGTGGGAATCCCCGTTCAAAACAATAGGCAACACAAACACATTGTGTGGTTTTCATCAGGTTATTGAAATGTACAGATTCCTGCATGACCACAGTGTGTGTAAATAACTACAATTCTGCTGTTGTAATACTTCTGACTACATAACTGTATTATACCACATCTGTAGATCTTAATACGTAGAGACCTGCACCAACAACTGACACTATGGCTGAGCTGCTGCCACCATATGAAATCAGACTGATAGTTATTCTGCTTCACCTGTTCCCATGTCCTGACATTTTAAGCATCTCAACAGAAACAGCTTAAGCATAAAATCTTGGATGAAAAGCAAAGGAATGCGTTCTGTGAAGGGGCTTGGTTGGGAATGAGGAGATGAGAGGAGTGAAGCAGGAGGGGTGAAAGGTGGAGTCGGAGCATCTCTGTCAGGCTGAACGAGTGGCGCTGCTCCTCGTCTCTGTGGACTTGCCATTCAGCAGAGACGTCTCTCCACATCAAGCTGCTTCAAACTGACCACCATCAATGGCATTTTTCTGTTGTCACATTCCATTCGCCTTCCTTTTTCCCAGCTTCTCTTGGACTGTCCTTCAGAGGCATTTTCAATAGGATTACTGAATAATGCCACCCCCCTTCCCTCCCGTATATGGACCTGTACCCCCCATCCAGCCCTGCATCTCCCTCCCTCTGCTGCTTTCACTTCATCAGTTCCTTCAGAGAGCTCTCTTCACTAGAGACAGGGAACAATGACCTACTTCATCCTGAGGAATGTCCATCACCTCCCCTCACCGCTTTCTCCCACCCCCAATAATCCCAGCCCCCTCTCCCACGGACACCCCCTTCTCACCCCACAACTTTCTTAATCTGAACAAAATGAGAATTCCTCAGAGTCTCTGAAAAATGCTTCACCTTCAGTCTCGCGTGCATGCAAGCATACACTCAGGCCCTTTCACTCATCTCTGTCTTTTTTTTTATTTTTTTTTATTATCCGCTCTCCGTACCCCCCTCGCTGCCCCGTGTGCACAAAACTTCTGTCCCACTGCAGTTTCTCTGGGTGCCCTCTGCTTGGCTTTGAAATGTAAAGTTCCCATGCTCTCACAAGGGGAGTCACTAAACGCTCCCTGCCACCAACACACACACACACACACACACACACACACACACACACACACACACACACACACACACAGTCCCCAAGAAGCGCTGTCACTTCCACTTCAGACTGACACACTAAAAAGAAAAAATGAGGTAGGGGAGGGGTGAGGGCGGCTTGGGGCGGGTTAAGTTGAGGGCTTTTTTAACTCCAAATCCCCACTGTGTCGCCAAGGATACCGGAAACACTGCAGCCCCTCCATTTACCTCCCCGCCATCATTGCCCCCACCTCCCCTCCAACACACACGCACCCACACACACAAAGCAAGGGGAGAGGGCACCAAGTTCCACGCTCCATTGACAGAGATTAAAACAAAAGGTCCACCCCCACCCCTGGAATGTCATAGTAGCCACAAGTTTAAAGTCAGTGAAAGGAGACGGAGGAGGTGAAGAGGAGGAGGAAAAGGCAAGAAGCAGGAGGACAGCCCTAAACTTCTCTATTTCCTCTCTACACTTTATTAGAGTGGTAATGCCTATATGCTAAACAGATAAGCCCTGTAATGAGTTTGGACAAACCCACTGGGTAGAAAGAGTGGACTGTGCGGGGTGTGTGTGAGCGGTGGCAGCAGGGGTGGGGTGTCGAGGCTCTCTGGCCCTGAGCTGAAGGTCTGAAGTATGAGCAGCATTACACAGGCATCTTGCATTGTCATTAAAAACAGTTTATGACATGCAGGCGTCTGCCAACAGGCCGGGGAGCTGAACACTCCCTCAGGATTTTTCCATTAAAAAATGCGCCTGTCGCTCAGCCAATGGTCTGAGAGAATCTGGGTGAAAGGTTACATGGGAGAGAGTGTAAGCTGTAGCGAAATGTAAGGATCCGTCTTTTCCTTCCTCCCTCCCGTCATCCTGTCACCATTTCCACATGTTGCAGAGAAGGCCCTAAATTATGAGCAATGTTAGGCCCAATCCATCACAGGAATAGAGGAGCTGACCGATCTCCTCCCACTCCTCCCTCCCACTTCCTCCTCCATGGAACCCCCCCACCCCCCTGCACCCCATCCATGTCCCTATAAACTCCCAATCCCAGCCCAGGCAGTAATTGCATCCTATTTGTGACAATTAGTCCCTGCGCTTCTCCCTTTTCTTATGGGATGGGATTCTGTCCCTCCTGCTGTTGGACTTCAGTGCTTCGGATGGATGTCTCTTCTTGTGTGTGTGTGTGTGTGTGTGTGTGTGTGTGTGGAGGCAAGGAGCCTTAATCCAAGTGCTTAAATCCCAGACATAGACTTGCTCTGCTGGACAGGGTCAGTGCAACAGGACAGACAGGCTGAGGCCAGGACAAACACACAGTGAGGAGACACAGAGAGGGGAGAACTATTTCTGGCTCTGGTCTTAATTGGCCATGACTCCTAGCTCCAGGCGCATGATGAGAGCCTGGCTAATCACATACACCACTTCCTGAGTTTGTTAGTTTGCGAGTGCATGTTTCATGTTGTGCATGTTGTGCGTCTGTTTTCGTGTACAGTTGCAGCTGTGTTTAGGCACACATGCAGCCCACTCAGGAGCAGTCAGCTGACGTCATTATTGTGACCGTCTTCCTTCAGTAACAGTAAAAACAATGATAAGCACTTCCTGTGCCGATTTCACCGACGGAAAGTGCCTGCTCCTGGGTGTCTCGACGTGACAACAGGAAATAATAGGGCAGCAACCTGAGTCTGTCACCTTATCCAGTGAGAGAGATGGTCTAATGGCCCAGGTGGAAGAGACTACAGCAGGCCTTTGTAAAGAGATCCCACATCTAACAGTTCAGAGACAGCAGCAACCTGCCTACAGTGATGAGGAGGGGGCACAAAGGGGGAGGAAGGTAAATGAAACACAGAAGAGTTTCACTGTGAGCCTGAGGGCTGCCCCCTCTTGGCCAACTAGATAACCTTACAGTTGTTAGGGCTTTGCTAACTTCTGTACGTTTCTGTACGTTTTAGATCTTAGAGTTAAAAAAAAAATACAATATTTAAACGACAGGTTGAAAAACCTCTTAGCTGAAGCCACAATGAAGTTTGAAAGCAAATTCTTTGAATTATGTAAAACATCAGTGGAAATTATCTAGACTATTGTGGTCCTGGTTCCTCAAAATCAAAAGACCAAGGATTCCCTTTGAGTCTCACCATTTTCTTACATGATTATGACATCACAAAGTCTGCAGATAAATACTTCGACCAAGCAATTAATTGAGAAAATAAACAGTAGATTCATTAACAATGAAAATAATCATTAGTTGTAGCCCTGAAAGAACATCACTGAAAGCCCCAGTTGAGCCGTGTAAGAAAGCTGCAAGGACTTGCACAGGGGGTGTAGGACAGAAAAACAGGAACATGCGCCGGAGAAATGCATGCAGTGAAACATGATCAACAGTGAGACATAGAAGAGAGAGAGAGAGAGATGGAAAGAGAAAGAAGGGTCTGAGGGGCAAAGAGAGGGGTTTGTGGGAGAGTGAGGCATGGGATGGGACAAAGGGCAGTAAGAGAGGAGAAAAAGAGGGGCGGGACAGCTCGAGCAGCCACTGCATTCCGACACGTCACATTCCTGTTCACATCTGGCTGCAATACACACGCTTCCCGTTTCTGACTATCCTTTGCTGCCTTTCACAGACACATAAGATCTGAAGGTCCCTGACCTGCATGTGCATGCATGTGTACATACAAATGCATCAAAACTTGCACACAATTGTCCTTAAAAAGCAAAACTCCAGTTTATTTAGAAACTTTAAAATCCAACATTTTTTTTTATCAATTTGCTCCCCTCTGTCTTATCAAGCTTCTTCTTAGCGGAGCTGCAGTGGTGGCACAGTTGGGTTGCTGAAGTTATTCAAAGCTGCCCCACTTCCTTGGTGACTCAGCACTGTTGCATGTTCCCATGCACTCCCACCCTCAACAAGAGAAACCCAATCCCAATATTTACAGGCATACACACATGTGCTCACACACAGAGGAACAGGAAGTACAGAAAAGACTAAATCTGAAGATGTGTGTGGTCCGTCTGGAAGCGCACACGTCTCTCTGGAGAGAAGGGAAGCGGGTGGTGGGGGACCAGGCTGTGAGGGGGTATGATGAGGCAGGGAGCTGAGACATTAAGAGACAGGTGGACGGGCCAACAGACACAGACTGACTGTCTCCGCTTCGGCCAGTGCACTGGCAGGTGGGAGCGTCCATCAAAAATCATGCAACACAAGTGCTGCTAGGCGTACACCAGCACAGTAGAGTCTGAAAAGTGGCCGGTGTGCATGTGTGTGTTTGTTGGTGTAAGTGTGTTTGCTTACTGTCAAAGTGGTCGTGCTTCTGTTTGAAGGTGGATTGTAGGTTGGTGCTAAGCCTCGACACGGGAGCTTTCATGTCCGAGTGGCTCTGCTGGCTCAGCTTCTCTTCCATCTCCACTGTGCAGCAGGAGAAACCCTGCGGACACACTTTCAGGGGGGCTCCTGCAGGAGACGAGGAAAATACACTGTTAAACACCATCTGCTACAGGAATCTGTCATCATGAATCACATCACGCAAAAACACATCCAATCTGTTATGTTAGAATAAAATTAAACAGACCAATAAAAGACCAGTTTTGAACAGAACAATAGGTCCGAATAAAAGTCTACTTGGCTGAGGATGTTTCTCATAAAAAAACAAAAGAAAGCTCAAAATATACTTAAAGACCTTTAAGCTATTCAGTATCCATACACCTACAGAGTGGATTTGTTAAAATGTGTCAGGTTACAATAACTTGAGCCAACTGGCCAATTTTAGTGGATATTTTACTTGTTTAAAACACACAAGTACATCAATCATTAAAACAATTTTCTACATTTCTTTGGAATAAAACCTTCTGTTAAGTAACAAACTCACCTCTCACTAAATCAAATGCACCTTGGCTGTGAAAACCCCCTTAACTGCACTTAAGTGGATTAATTGCAACACTTAGCTCAGAGCAGTCTTTAGCTGGCCGCTTTATAGAGCCTCACGCTTATCCTGGCACTCTCCTGTCCTGATTGATAGTTTAGTGCTGTAGCTTTCTCTGAGTGCAGTGTCCCTCAAAAAACACAAACTTTATAAAGGAGTGGGTAAGCTCACTCACTCTTCAGGTAAGAAGGCTGACTTCAGGCATGTGCAGCTTGACATGGATAAACCTGGCAAAGTGCTTTTAAGGATATTTTGGCTTTGCGTCCACATAGGGCAGCATCTCGACCACCATAACACACAAGAAAGCACTGGTCTCCTGTATGTTGTGAAGTGAATGGGGAAATTTCCATTTTACCCATCTGACTGTCACGTGCTTTTGAATTGGTGACGCTCTCTTTTTAATGCTTGCTCTGTAAACAAAGCATTTCACAAACAGAAAAAAGCCAGTTGCCTGAAACTGTGTAAAGCTGTGGGCTCAAGTAGCCCTCACATGCCCAACAGGAGAGATGTGAAGTGCTTTTCTGTTTTGGAGCTTCAGTGTAGTTAAATAAATGTTCTGAAAATGCTGGTTGTTAATAGGTTTTCAAACTGATCTGCATTAGTATGGAACTGGGACAAAAATGTCAGAAAACTGTGCTTTTACTCTCCTCATCAGAACCATTATGCAAAACCTAAACACTGGCTTTGATGAAACAGTAACTGTCAACTTTGTCAAAAGTGAGTTTAACATCCAATTAAGAGGAGGGTCAGGGGAGGACGAATGCAAAGTTGCAGCTGCAATAATGTTTTGTTTTAAACGTGGCTGTTGGAATTTGGGAGAACACAGGGATCCTTTCACTGCATCCAGGCACCAACGGCCTGTTTGGTTTTCCCCACCAGCTCGTGCTCACTGACTCAAGGCCTGAGTGCCTGCACAGGTTACTGCTACTTGAAGAGCTTCAATATCATATATGGACTAGGGCTTTAAAATGACTTGTAATGTTTCCGGCATTTATTGAAAGATACATCTCAGACTAATTAAGCCTGAAGAGATCATTTTTTCTTGTGTGCAGTGAAATGTGTTAGACATATTACTTTTATATGAAACCTTGAAAAGCATCAGCATTTTATTTAAAGCTACAGGAAACTCAAAATTGGAAACTAAACACATTACCTGGGTCTTGCTGATTCTCTAATGGTTATCACTTTATTTCCTCCATTGAGATTTTTTACTTTCATCACCGTTATATTCTTTTTAATGGGTACAATTTATTGTATTGAAACATAAAATTCCAAACATAAAAATTCCAAGCAACGTCCTCTGACTGACAACAAAAGACAGGAAGAAGTACAGCGCATCTGAACTACAAAAGCCTTGTTATGCCATTTAATGGATTACGTTGAATGGATTTGGTAAAGATTAGTGAACATGGAGCCTTTTTTTCCTGCTTTGTTCATGTTAAGTATTAAAAAACTTCCTGTTCTGTTACTTATTGGGTTGAACATTGTTGTATCTTTGGTTCAGTTTGTTACAGTTCCCTTGGCATGATCCTCGGTATACGACTGTGGGATTTTCACTGCTGGTTGCCATGTTTCATGCGTCGCTATAATAACCTCAGCCACGTAGATTTGTTTTTTTCTGTGACATCTTGAGGTTGTTTTCATTCTTTTTGTGCACATAATTAGACACAGCCTATCAACGTCTATTAGAGAAACCAGACTCTGTTACTTTAGTTGTTTTACACATGTATACCTCTATAAGGAAAACACACATTTACAGATCAAGCTCCTATAGTTTTAACAGCTTGATTTGTGCTGATTGAGCTGTTAAGTTAGTCATACTAGTTTCACCTCAGCACACCGAACATCTAACTGAATGATGGAGCACAACATGTTTCGAGAAGTTCCCTGCACGTCTGAAATAGTAACTGGAACGTTAAAAAATTAAACTGCAGGGTCAGAAGTGACTCATAGCAATACAATCATCTAAACAGGGCACCAGAGGGAGGGATGCACCCTGGCGCCATAAACTGGACCCCTCTGTCTGGGATCAAGTCCAAATAAGCCTCAAGTCACTCCTTCTCTCACAGTCCTCTACCCAAACTCATCTCTCCCCCTCCAACTGGTCCCCTCCTATACACATATGCACATACACACGCACACGCACACATACCCAGGCACAGTTGGCAGCCCCTACCTAAACATATTCACACATCACATCACTGCTCAACACATGGCTCTTTGTACCAGCGTGATTGGAGGTACAGGGAGCAGCACACACACACACACAGACTGAACTTTTAGGTGAAACAGCCATCCAGTCTCTCCTCCAGCAGGGCCCCCTGCTTGCCTACAGCACAGGAGTACATTCAAAAGGCCTATATCCACGTGGAAAATAGCCCTAGTTACCAAAGTACACAAATAAAAGTGAGATGGTCAATATTTCACAGGAATGTCTGTACAAATGTCACATTGTTAGCTCAAAGGATTAAGTCTCTGAAAACTGAAGATTCTTAGCTAATGCATACTTTGTGAAAACATTTTGGCAGCCAATTTTTCAAACTGCTGGGAGAAAATGGCACTGTTGGAGCACAAGAGAGTGAACAGTTAACAAGAACAGTTAGATCCTATAAAAATCAACATCACGCCGGACTGTGCGTGACATGTTTCAGCTTCACTGTTTCACAATAAGCTTTGTCAGTTGATGCATCAGTCATTTCTCCGCCATCATTGTATGAATAGTCTTTGTGTGATGGGTGAACTGGCTCTCAGTTGCCTTATAGAGTTTCTCTTACGGGCCTCTCAACCCTCCAGCTTCCCGAGTACTTTAAGATGTAAGAAGACAGAGAGACAGAACATTGTTAAAGTGTCACTCTGAAGAGGAAAACTGCCATTTATGGTGGCCAAAACAAGAGAGCAGCATCTTGTAAACAAACATGTGACTGTGTGTCATGGTATTCATCAGCTCTCCACTACTTCTCTGCCTTTCCTTTGTGGGGAGACCACCATCCCCTTTAAATGGCTCATAAAAAGTCACTTCCCTTTGACATTGTCCTGCCTCTCAAACTCTGTTCTCAGAGGAAGGATGGTGGGGGAGGTGAAAATGCCTCACAGACAAAAACCAGATTAGACACCTCACCGCCCCCTCTGCCTGCCATCATGTGCCCCTGAACCAGACGGACCTCAGGGTGCCCCCCACCTCCGCCTCGACTGCCACCACCCTGCAGGCTTAACCAGCGAGGTCAGGGGTTAACAGCCACTCCTCTGAGAGAGGTCCTGTCCTCTGACCCGCCCTGTCCGCCAGCCAGCACATCCACCACACACAGTAACCCCCCCCCCCACTACCCCCCCCCCCCCCCCCAAACCCCAAACACTCCAATAATAACACCACCAACACATACATACAAAAAAGCCCCCACACGTATAGGCAATTAAGAGCCATAAAAGTCGCGGACACATGCAAAAAAACATAAATAGAAAACCTTAAAAGTCATTTTCTCCAATCTCAAGCCATAAAAGTCTCTCAAGAATTATTTCTGTACCCTCCTGAACTCAAGACGTCACTAATGCTGCTAAGAGAGTCATGAAGGAGGCCATGGGGTACCGCATGTCACGAACCATTCACCGACGTCTGTCACTAATTGGAGCCTGGTGGTCTGTGCCTGAACCAAAGCTCAGAGCTTTCACACAGCATTTGTAACATTTGTAAATAATTACATGATAAACTGTATGCAGCTCATAGTTTATGCACATACTAATTCAGTCCCAGTGGAACGCAGGTAAAATGAGACAGTGGATACTGGGGCAATTTAATTTCAAGACATGGAAAACGTGTGAATGTATTCCAAGTTGCTCTGATTAATCTTTGCATGTTCGACATATAAAACTCAGCTCCAAACGTTCTCAGTAGTGTGAAGTATGTGAAATAACACTTATGAATACAAAGGTTCACTATTAATTGGTATACTGTATTATGCTCCCTGTTGTAACATGTAAAGGAGAGTGCTGCCAGTCTACTGAGCATTACTCACACAGACTGTTGTAAATTTGCACGCCCTGAAGCCATAACATTCTCCTCTTGCTCCTCACCTCTGTCTAGGGTGTAATTATCCTGGGGGTGGGGGGTGGGTAAAGGGATTGGTGCCATTTGTTGGGTAACTTTTTCTGTTCCGCTTCACACTTGGCCATGCACATTCACATGAGCTGAACCTGTGGTCTTTAGAGGAGTCCATAATGCTTCTTTTTAAGCTGTGAAGTTTTACTCATAAGCATGTCGTTTGTGAGAGGTGTAATAATTTGTGGACTGTTTCAAAAGAAGCAAAGTAAAGAGCCATGAGGTGAAGCCACAACTGAAAGGAGAGATAAAAAGAAGGCAAACTAGCTGCATATTTCATTTTCAAAATCATAGCAATTGCTTTTTCTAAGTTATTCCCTTCTTAAATTAATTCTTGTTGCAGCATGTTGTCAAATCAACCCTTTCTTTTTGTCTCATCCTCTTTCATCTGAAGAACCCTACAGTTGTGGTCTGTGTCTGGATTTAAAAATGAATTCA